TCAAAAATCTTCTTAAACTCGGGTCAAATTTGAGGCTTTCTTATACTGTGGTGCCTATGCATTGGTGATACCATAATATACTTACTTTGGTTACCATGTATTGTTGGTTTGTTGTTTGAATATATACCAAAAATTTCTAACTAAAGAAACAGCATCAGCATGAGTGAAATATATACAACTGTATTTAAATGGTTAGAATCCAAAAAAAGTTAATTCCGTTATTTTCATATTCTTTATTACAAAAGTTTATAATAAGTTCCTTAATTATAGTATTGTTGTTTGAGCATAAATGAGGTCGTTGGCTTTTTCGTTTGAACTGTTTCACTTTTTGTCATTTAGGGGCTTTTTATAGATTATTATATGGTATGTGTTTGCTCATTGTTGAATTATATGGTATGTGTTTGCTCATTATTGAAGGTCGTATGGTGACCCATGGTTGCTTACGTCCACGTCCTTTGGTCTCTCGGGTGGATATTTTTCTCATTGGCAATAATATCACATCTGCTTATTTTGATACATTTTAAAGGACAGATATATAAGTTGCAGAAAATTTACTAATGCTGAGATGAAACGATGACGGTTCTTTTTTTGTGTAGCCAATACATAGTATTGATATATAGAGCCTTTAAATGTTTAGAGGAGACCTTGAGCTGAGATTTGGCAATGGTATGCTTTTCATTTATTTGACTCGGGTGGTACGAACACAAAACGCATTCCGAGTATTTTTAACTTTTATCTTACCCTAGAAGTGGACTGGACGTACTATTAATAACTCGTCTATTAATTGTTAAATTATTTTGAAATGTGATATCCGAATATCAACAATTTTCTTCATTAATTGAGATCAAAACCAAGTGAAGGTTTATTCCGTTTACGCCAATATTTTTACAATAGGATTAAAGAGTGCCTTTAATTATCTGGTGACAGTTTATTTTCGAAAGAGGATGATATTTAGGTCCTTTTTTTCGAAAGTTTATAACCTCTCGGTCTTTTTTTCCCCTTCGTCTAACCCGGCAAAAAATTACCTCCGGTATATTTAAAGTCTGAAACACATGATGACGTTGTAAAAAACTGGTACTATATATATATATATATATATATATACAAGGAGTTGTGGTATGATTGCCAATGAGACAACTCATGATCCACCAGAGTTAAAAGGACGTGGATATTAGCAATTATGGGTCACCGTACAGCCTTTATCAATGAAAAAACCCACACAGTATAGTCAGCTGTAAAAGCACTACCTATAGCCGAGTACCGCAGAAAGTGATTTTCCCCCGATTATAGTACTGATTTTCCTCGATTTTACACTATAGTTCTATTATTTAATTTAAGTAGCTTAAACTAATCAATTGGTTAAAGATCATTTATTCTGTCTGGTCAGCAGTCATTAGTAAGTGATATCCTGAGGTGGGATTGCTTTGAAGTTACATCATGACCTTCCTTATTCTTTGTATTGATGCTGTTGCAGCTGATTTGAGTAAAAAAAATCTGTTTTAGTCTGCATTTAGAAAACTGGTAGTATAAATTAGATTTTTTTTCATGAAATTTTTTTCAAATATAATAATCTGAAAAATGCAAGTAGAAATTTGGACAAAAAACTAGCAATTAAACTTGAGCTTTGGTGTACAGATTGTCCCCGATCAGCTTGTGTTGATTACAGATTTTCCCTGATACCTATACATATTGTCCCCGATTTTGAAAAAGCTAATTCTTCAAAAATAAAGCTAATATGTGGATCTTCAGTACACATAGGCATGTGCTAATAAAAATAGTGGAATATATGAAAATTTTTCCTGTAAACTTGTAATTCTACAATTTTATATATAAAATTGAATTAGAGATTTTTTTGTTCATTGATATTTCATTGGTTGGTTCAGAAACTTTAAACAGGTTTCTGCTTGCTTGGGGTTCATAACATACTGTTTGTATATTTCTGGATTCATAGTTTGGTGAATTTGATAAATTGTCTGAAAAGGTTGGAGATTGTGATGATTTGCCTTTTTTGATAATCTTTTGTTGTGTATTTGTTGATAAGTTACAAATTATAATTTTTTCATCTTGTCTAGAAGTTCTGGAATGAATGCATGGTATGTTATCTTTCACCACACTCTTCAAGTCTTCTCCAAATGACAAGTTTTTCAGATGAATGTGTCTTCTGATGGTGAGCTACTATTTCTTCAAAGATGACATTTTTAGAAAGCTATTAAAGCTATGTTGATATGTTTTTGCAAGTAACAGTTAAAAATTAAACTCAGAATGAACCTTTTTCCTTACGATACTATAAGAGAAAATCGGGGGAAATCTGTAATTAACTTCATCTTCTCTGGGACATTCTGTACACTGATAGTGGACAATCAGTACACTGCATCAGAAATTGAAATCATATTTTTTTAGTATTTACCTAATCCCCTTAAAAAAGTACTCCCAGCAGGCTAAGTTTACTTAATTTGCACATTTGAATAAGTATTCTACAATTAGAGAAATAACATTTAGATATTTGAATAATATAAGAAAATCACTTCCCATGACTTCCTTGCTTCGGAAAAGTTTCTATTTTTAGGATTGGTCATCAAAATCCATATTGCCCATGGGAGGTCAATGTTAAAAATGTATGAATGAAAAGGAAGGTTGCATAATTATTGACACAGATTTTCTTTAATTCATATATAATTCCCCTTTTGATGTTATTTACATAGGAAAATCGGGAAAAATCAGTAATCAATCGGGGAAAATCAGTACTGTTATCGGGGGAAAATCACTTTCTGCCGTACTCGGTTACAAGGTCCCTACATTAAAATTGTGAGACAATTCAGACGAGAAAACTAACGACCTACTTAATTACAGTATAATGTACCAAAAAAACAAAAACAAATATGATAGACATGAACAACGACAACCACTGAATTACAGGCTCTTCACTTGGGACAGACACATGCATAAAGTATGTTGAGCATGTTTGTAAGCGCTCAGTCCTCCCTTAACTTGTGACAGTGGTGTAACAGAACACCATAAGAACAAACTGTTAAAAAACAGTTCCAAATGGCTTAACTCAACAGATCGGTAGGAAGCACACAAAAACAACTAACATAAAAACAATAGAAACAAAGCACCAATATAAGAGAACTCGCAGTTCAGAGCCAATTTCAAATAATTAATAAATCATGTTTTCTCTGACTAAATTATCAATCAGCACACATCCAACGGATTAAACGTAAAGACGTCATAAACAGTATAAGAAACGCATGGTCTTGTGCAATGCCAAAATATAAGTAAACAATATCTATAGGATATAGTACTCATAGCTGTAAATATATAGCAATTTCATATATTTATTTATGTTTTAATTTTTCAAAAACACAATCAATGTTAGTACCAATTAAACAATGATTTAACTACGGTGTTAAATCGATAACCTTTAAAAACAAGTTTAATTAAAGGATCAAAGAGTTTACATGGATCGTATCTAAATTTACGGGCTCTATAAACACCACCACCGTAAGATTATGATGTTTTATCCTGTTTTTAATAAAAATTCTACTTGTGCCAATTGTTTCATAGACTTATTTTGTTGGCCTCCAATCTTTAAGGTAAAAAAAAACATATGTTCTTTCTTTCACTTTTTTGTTACTCGCAATTCTGATATATTTTGAGATCATTTTTTTTCAACACAATATTTTAGGTCAAATTTCTCAAATTGTTTTTAAATATTATTTATTGTCATCTCAATGTTGCATAACTGGTAAAAGTTCAGATTTTCAAACAAAATACTTATAGTTCTTGAAAAGTTGACACCTGTGTTTGTACAAATAAACACGACTTAAATTAGGCTCACAAACAGTTGATTTACAACGACCGAGAACTACAAGGTATGGCAAAAAGAGCTTTAGCTTTGAGGCAGCAAAGTTGTGGAACTCCCTGTCTATAACCATGCACGGACCCTCTCACTTTTTGGACATTTCAAACATTTTATTTCAACATATAAATCCTCAGATAACCACCGTGCTTCTGTAGCTGATGTAGACTATAACTTTGCTGTCCCAAAGCTGAAGTCTTCTAGCCTTCAGTCGGTTCTTTTTATTGTTTGCTCTTATTTTAATTTATTTAATAGTGCTTTTGTCTCTTTGCCAGCTACAGTTAAATATGTGTTTAGCTTGTTTGCTTTGATTTATGCATGTTGCTTATTTATTATAATATGCATGTGTTTTATTTATAGGCAGTGGCTATTTTGCCGGCACCAGCAAAATAGAAAATATGCTATTTTGCCGGCTCTAGGTAAGTGGAAGCCAGGTTAAAAACTATTTTGTTTACATATATGCAATTCAGAGAACTGACTCAGTATTATTTCAAAAAACAAATTTAATTTAAAAATTTTTGATTTTTTAAGCTTTGTGAATGATTGTGTAATATTGTATAATGTAATGTCAAATTAATGATGCAATGAGATTTTTAACTTTTATTTCTTTATAACATAAGTTAAAAAATCTGAGGTTTTATTTTTATGCATTCATACAGGGACAGTCTATACTAAATAGTTAGTATATACTGTCCCTGATTCAAATAGCTTTAAACTGTGACTGATTTTAGAAATAATTTCAACTGCATGTTTTGATATGATTTCATTGCAACAAATAGATGCTCAATATCTTTATTCTTAAACTTCTTATGTTTTTAAGCAATCATATGTATCTCAAATATTGTTAGCTGTTTTCTTATTTAACTTGGCTACCCGGCGGTATATCAAACGAGAAAACTAACGGCCTGATTTTAATATGTGCAAAATAATGAACAAAAACAATACATGTATTGTATGTCTCTGCTAAGACGTAACCTGTCACCAAATTTAAGAAAAACGAGCTTAAACCTAGCCAAAAACTTACTATGTATTGCAACTCGTCGTATCAATCAACATATCGTATAAAAATAGTAACAGCGCACCGGATTATATTATCTGAATCGTGCTTGTTTTCAAGTTTATAATTATTGTTTAACTTCCGATGATAATTTGGAAGGAAGCAAGATATGTTTCTGTTTGAAGTTTTCTTATTATGAAGAGATTTCATTCACTTTACGTATACTTCACGCAAACGAAACGCATCTTACGAACATTTAAATCACCAGAAAGAACGTTGTCAACAGCTTTTATTATAAACAGCAGCAAGAAAAATAGAACTATTCTTGGCTTTCCACTTTTGGTTTCGGTTGGCATGGAAAGAAATAAAGAAACACACCAAAATGAGCCTATAACTCGACAAAAGTATAGTACCAAAATAAAAGAACAAAAGGGTAAACGGCCATTTATTTTCAGTATTATTTCGTAGTACCATGACTTGCTTGATTAGAATAAAAAAGGGTGGTATAGAATAATTAATGCCCAGAATAAGTAGATACCTCTTATCAAATTGTTAAACTGTTTTACATAGTTCATTAGATAAATTAATAAAGAATAATTATATTTGTGAAATTTGCACAAAACGGACTTTGTATGACCATTTGGTACAATTATTTGATGATTAAGTGGGTGTGTCTTATCTTCAAGTCGTTGAGTTCTACACACAGGCCTTTGTCTCTTTAAAAAAAATATGCCTCTATACCTTTACTAAACACAAGGTACCGGGTACATTTGTACTCATTTTCAATTTTGGTGAACTTGCACATGTTCAATATGTTCAATTTTTTAAAAAAAATTTCCACAGTCGTCATTCCCCAAAAAACTTTCTATGTCATAAAGCTATATTAATTTATCTATAGAATAGGGTATGACGCATCGTTTGCTGTCTGATATAATTTGTTGGAGGCCTTTCAATTAGGCTTACCTTAAGTCATGTCCTCATCTTACAATATGCTGACAATGTTCAATCCCTTACGAGCATGACGAGAGTAATTCAAAAGCTATTACTAAAAATCTCTACATTTTCCCTTGTAAAGAACATACATGTATATTGAAGAAATTGTTATAAAAAATTTAATTTGCAATATTATAGGTTTTTTTAAAGTTAGAAATCTATCAGGTTGTCCAAAACCGATCAAGATTCCTTGACTTCTTATTTGAATATTTAAACATTTCCAGTTCATAATGAGGATAGGACATGGCAAGGTGTGTGTTTTAAATTAAAAAAATCAACTGTCTCGAGTGTAGAAATATCATTTTACAGTCGATGCAGTGGTAGATCCTATATATACAAAAAATAATTTGAACTACCTACATGTACATGTAGTTACAATAAAATTCTTATCTGGTAGTATGAGTATTTTCAACCAGATGTAATACCATAGGTGTGATCCTGTTCTTAATTGTAGTTTTAAATTTGATTGCAGTTCATTGTACAAAATTTTTGGATTGTTGAAAAAGATTAGATACATGCAAAAATATGCAGTACATGTATATTGTACATATATCATGTACACTATGTACATGTTTATTCTACTAATATCAACTACAATAGTATAGAATTATACAATCCTGAGCAAAGAAGCCTGAATTATAGTTCAAAAATAAAATAAATGCTCATTAATGAATGAAATTAACTGATTATGTATAAATATTGCTGGAAGTTTAAGTACTGTGAATTCATTATTATCTATGGGATACCAATTTTCCTGCATTTTGTTGATGAATTTAAATGTACAATGAAGTATAAATTCTATATAGGCCTGTATGCAGATTTTTGTTTTGTAAAACCACAGAATCAAATATCTATGAAAAAAACACATAATGTACAATATTTTCTTAATACACGAAAATTGGTACCGACGAAAATAGATGAATACCATCCTCTTATAACCTATTACATTTACTACAGATAAATTTCTGCTTATGCCATTAGAAGAAAAGAGGAACATTTACAAATGTAGAGATAAATACAATACCCTGGAAGATGTACAGACATGGGAGGAATATTATAGTGAAAACAAAGATAAATTACTAAAGAAAATTGGTAAGTATTTTCACATTAGAATTCTGCCTGTAAGATAAACAAACCTGAAGATCTGACAGCTGACAGAATATTCAGTAGTTTTCTTATGTAGGAATATACAATAAATAAATACTAATATTTTTGTAATAAATTAAAGTTACCATCAATAATCCTGGTTCAATGTGAATGACTCAACACAACCAAGTGGGATTTCTACCTGAATCTCCTAGTGTGTACTGTGGAGGTTCCAACAGAGGTAAAAGATATCAAGACTTTAGATTTTCACCTAAGTTGGAAATACAATTAAAAGTGTCTGTCATATCAAGATAAGTGTAAGGGATAAATTGGGTAGGGAGAAAAGACAGAATTTTTAAGAATAATTTCTTGGAATTGCGAGCAAACAATCATTATAATCAACCAAATTTTTTTAGAATTACAACAACTTTTATGTCTGAATTAGCATAATATTCCAATCATGAGCGTATTTAAAGAAATACATGTTTTAAGTTTGGACTTCAAATGTCAACAAAATCATTGACTTTTTACAACAAATTTGCTTGATTAAATCATTTATTTACATGTACCAACAAAATATACACATAAACATAGAAAAATCAGTTCTTAAAATACTACAAATATCTCATTCTGATTAATTCAAGTCTCAATTGTGTTTAAGTGAACCGTGGTATAGCAAACATTGAATCCACTCACAAAATCTTATCCAACACATTAGTAGGAAAAAACAGTCCATGGGAAATGACTCATTCAGATTGTTTGTTTCAGTTTCAGTTTTTGCTTCAAACTATTGTTTATGAGAGTTATTATAGGTACAGTACGGACATATAAAATTTCCTTTCCTCTTTAAAAATGAGGCATTTTTTACATTCATTAATTTAAAAAATAAAAAAATAAACAATCACCAGGAAAGGTCCAAAAATAGGATAATCCTCATTAATTTTTTATGGTCAAACTGAGATCAGAGTGCAGAGAGGCAGAACAAAAGACACAACAGATCTTCACCAACATTACAATGTATGATTATTTATAAAAATAGGATGTCTCTTATAGATTTCAATATCAAAGATCAAAAGTCTAGCAAAGATCAGAGGTCAAGGTCAAAACTGTCTTTGACCCTTGACAGAGGAAATGACTTTGTCAATGTCAACAAACTAATCTAAAGGAGAAATTTTGTTATAATAGCTTAACAAGAAAACAATATTTTCAGCAAAAAAGAGTAATTTAGGAAAGAGTCATGGTGAGAGAAGAGAAGTGAGGCCAGATCTAAACAAGAAGGTGTCCCTATGGAGAGGTGATATTACAACACTGGAGATTGATGCTATTGTCAATGCAGCTAATGAATCTTTGTTAGGAGGTGGAGGAGGTAAGATAGACAGGAGCAATTTATTATCATAGTTTTAAAACGTGAGATTTTAAAATGAATAAAATGATATTCCTTGATGAAAAAGCAGCACCCACATATGTTTTATTAGTTTTAAAAGTTCTTTACTGTTATTGCCAACGAGTCAACTATTCCATGTATTCATAGACCAAATGTCAAAGAACAGGTCACCCTATTGCCTTAAACAATGAGCAAAACCCATTGGTATAGCAACATTATTAGGTTTGTTGATAAAATTTGAAGTGAATAATAAAGAATTGATGACAACAGTATATCAGGTTATGTATTTTTTTTTAACTTAGTGGATGGAGCTATACACAGGGCAGCAGGGAAAAAACTTGTAGAGGAATGTGCTACATTGAGAGGGTGTAAAACTGGCCAGGCAAAGATCACTGGAGGTAAGTTTATGGAAGAATGTGCTACACTGAGAGGGTGTAAAACTGGCCAGGCAAAGATCACTGGAGGTAAGTTAATGGAAGAATGTGCTACACTGAGAGGGTGTAAAACTGGCCAGGCAAAGATCACTGGAGGTAAGTTAATGGAAGAATGTGCTACACTGAGAGGGTGTAAAACGGCCAGGCAAAGATCACTGGAGGTAAGTTAATGGAAGAATGTGCTACACTGAGAGGGTGTAAAACCGGCCAGGCAAAGATCACTGGAGGTAAGTTTATGGAAGAATGTGCTACACTGAGAGGGTGTAAAACTGGCCAGGCAAAGATCACTGGAGGTAAGTTAATGGAAGAATGTGCTACACTGAGAGGGTGTAAAACGGCCAGGCAAAGATCACTGGAGGTAAGTTAGTTGAAGAAATTCAATCATGAACCACAATACCATTTAGAAAACAGGGTTGGATTCCGGATTGAGAACAGGTGGACGTGACCCTAAATATTGCTAATCAGAGTTTTTGTTTCATGCCCCAAAAAATGTCCCTCTGTCAGATCCCTTCATTGGAAAACATCTTCAGTACAAGACAATAACTACTTCCTGTTGTGCATGTTTAGCTTGATCATACTATATTGCTAGTACCTTGGATTGTTCTGCTTATGGATGAAAAAGGGAACAGTTATGTGTCAATTTTAGTGGTTGATCTTTGACCTACAAAAATGAAGTTTTACAAAACTAGGTGATTTTAGCTTAAGAATAATTGTTAAGTAAAGGTATGTGCAAAATGTAAACTGTAATATCTTTGAAATATCATGAATATTTGCGGAGATTTCATAGTCAAAAGATAGCAAAAATCAGATTTTTCTACAAAATATGAAAAAAGTTTTGACACATATAAAAAGTTTGTTACTTGGAAATATGCAGTGCATGTAAGTACCATCAAAATATTGACAGGAGAGAGGTTGTTCATATAGACAAACATTGTGGTAAATTATTTATTTGGTACTTCCATTTGATCTATATTTGCAGGTCCAAAAACTATGTAAAAATGACCCAAAACTATATATTTTTCATGAAACACATAGAAAGGCTGTTTTCTGATGTCATGTGTAAATAAAAACTACTTGGATTTTATTTTTGAATTATTAACTCAACTTTAGGAAAAAACATAAATTGAAATCTTTAATTAAAGTTCAGAATTCAGTAAAAAGTTAGGCTAAATATATACGTTACTCCCTGTCCTTTAGAAATTATTGAGAAACTGATGTTCCAATTCCCTCAGGCAATGTTAATCAGAGGTTGATTTGGGTATTTCTTTTAGGTACCTTTTGGTCATATAAGCTCTTTAAGTAATTAGGTATTTAGACATCCTTGGTTTTCAAATTTTAAGTTTAAACTTTTCTGATGAATGTTAATGCAGAAAAGTGCTTCAACTTTAACTTTTTTTTCATTTTCCAAGAAAATGTACCCCAGTATAGCATGCATTTTTTATTGCCAAAATCTGGATGGAAAACTAATATTAATCTCAAAACATACAGCAAATGATGTCCAAATATGCAACAACCAATGCTAAGGGGCAAAGGCTGGGCAATTTGAACCTCCACAAACTTATCAGAAGCAATTTCAGTAAAAAGACATGAACGAGAGAAATAAGGAGTGGGGTTCCCATATACATTAATGAAACAGGAACACACCAACAACAAAAACCCTAAGACATCTACATTTTTCAGAATTGTATAATTTTTTTAATAGAAATTTTATTTTTTAGGTTACAAATTACCAGCTAAACGTAAGTATATACTAAATGTCAAGTGTTTCCCTGAACCAAGAGTCGTTATATATTTATTGGTATTTTGCGTGTTACTTTGAAGTTATCTAGAAATCGGTTAAGTTTCTGTCTATAGAAAATTAGAAATTATATTATGTGATTGCTAAATATTCAACCAAAATTTGATTTATTCAAGTGCTTACCAAACTGTGGTACCTCCATGGGTTGCTTTCATTGTATGGTGTTAGATGAAATTTAACTGTAAAATGGCAGTGAAAGGGTTCAGATCCTGGAAATGAGTATTATGATTTTAAAAGCATTTATTATTGATTCCAATTGAAACTAACTCATTTTGTATGTTGTACTGTGGATAAAATACAAATACTGTGGATTTATTTATTTTTGTGAGTATCAATTTCATGGATTTGGGAAAACTTGCGTTTTCACGGATATTTGATTTCGTGGTTTTGTCAAAGTCTGCATGCATTCCTATAGAAAACTTGTGATTCAGTGAACGTTTAAATTCATGGGGGGTTCCCCAGTAATCACGAAATCAACGAAAATTGGTGTCCAATGATTAATAATGAATCCACAGTACTAAAAGATAAAAAAAAATTGTTTTCCAAAGTTACGATATCCAGTATAAAATATACTTTGTACTGCAGATTCAATTATTCTTCTTGAGTACTAATTTTTGTGGATTGAGCAAAAAATGTATTTTCTGGGATATTTGATAAGGTGGTATTCCCAAAGTCTGCATACAAGTCTATATAAAAATTTTTGCTTTCATAAACATTTAAATGCTAGTTCACCTTAACCAACGAAATCCACATGAATTAGTATCCTACAAATAATAATGAATCCACAATATTCCAAAAAAAATTAACCATCCCCAGAAAATCATTTTTTTTCTTCTTGACGAAAAGACAGATTTACTTTTTAGATGTAATACACACCGTTGGTCCTATAGGAGAACAGAAGGAGATGTTAAAAGGTGCCTACGATAAGTGTCTGCAACTTGTTTACGAAAATGAATTAGTTTCTGTGGTATGTATATAGCTATATTTAAGTTACTGTCTGTTGACACAATTTACCATTTCAGTGTCAAAGACATACTTGGTAATATTTTTGAAAACAATAACCAACACATGTTGATTGGTTGTGTAGGTAAATGAAGTATCTTTGGTTAACTTGCTTGCTAGCTGAACCATGAAATCTTTATTAGCTAAGGTACTACCTTCCTATGGTCGGCATCAACAGTTGAGCAGAGAACAATCACCAGTAGGGACAGTATATAAACATTGTTAAACCAGTTTTGCAAGTCAGTAAAATATTGCAAATGCTTTTAAAACTATCTAAATACAATAAATCCTACTTGAGTAGAAATTTCCTTGTGCCTAGCAGCTAAGAATTATGATCCTTTCTAGACGGGTACTTTTTTTTCACAAGTAGCCCTCTTGACCCTGATACACAACCAAAAGCAAAGGAACAGCCCTTCTAGAATTTATATTTATATATACATTGCATAATGAACTTAATTCTTTTCGGTTGATCTGAATCAAAATTTGTTCAATCACAATTTTAAACACAAATATTTCAATGAAAAGTTTTAACAATTAAGAATTGTCTTTTTTAGGCTTTTCCTTGCATATCAACAGGTATTTATGGTGAGTACCAGTGTTAACAGAGATAACTTTAATCAGTAATGTGTTTGCAATATATAGTTTCATCTATCCTTTTTTAAGCATTTTTGTGAAACAGGAAAAAAATAATTTGTGTTGCTTAGAAGCTTAAATATTTGTATGAAAATGTACCGAGTTAGATCCCTTAAGTTAAGTCCACCTCTTTATAGAACAAATTTTTTTCCCCTTTTCTCATAGGAAAAAGTAAGTCTGAAACAGAATTTCAATTGAAGAAAGAAAAAATTATGGAATTTAAAGTCTATTTGACTGTAAGCAAAGCCTAGACACAGGATCTGTTTTTCAATCATCCAAAACATTACTCTGTCAAAATATTGCTATTTCCTAAGTTGCTCTTAGTATTTAAAAATTTAACTTTCAAATTTAGGTTATTCCAGTGAGAAAGCTGCTCCTGTGGCAATTGAAACTGTAAGAAAGTGGCTGGAAGATGAAGAAAAAGGAGAAAAGGTACATTGCATTGGTTATCTATAAACACCTGATAAAATGAACCAAAGTCATTGAAAAGGATACAGTTTAAAACCAATATGGTTACTGTTTGGGTTTAGTTGGTTAGTACTTCGCTTTGTGTAAATATAAAGACCTAATGTATATTCAAACTCTGTTTACTATACTGACTAGAGACGTTATGCATACAATAAGCGTAATAATGATATGATGTTACAATACTTTACTTAGTTACATTACAGTCTGAGCCGTTAACAATAAGTTGCATTAGTTGGTGTCTCTGTATTGCAGCTTATTCATAATAGTTACCATTAATATGAATAGAAAATACTGAAAATAATTTATTGCAAAATTATTTGACCAGAGAAGTCTGTCTCATTTTTAACTCCAAAGGTAGCTGTAGGCATATCAAAATGGCTACCCAGTCTTGCGATAATTAAAGTATGATAATCGTACTCTGACTCAGAAATCAACCAATCAAAATGATGAATATGATGTTTCGAGCACAAATTTTGTACTGAATAAAGTTTTATGACAGTAAACCCTGCCCTTCCTCCATCTGTCAGTAAGAGCCTTGCTGATGGAATATTGAGCTATGTGAGATCTATAAATAAACTATCATGTTCAGCTGTATTCAATCGGTGAAGTCATTGATACAAATCAGAATTAAAAAACTGAATGGGTCTATGAATACACATGGTTCATCAATCTTTTATGAATATACATGCTTCATCAATCTTTAAAGACCCAAATGTTGCGAAACACCTGTCCTACCTCCATGAAAAATATGTTATTGCCCCTGCAGATAAAACCCCAAACAACATCGTTTTTGTTTGTAGATCACATTACGGTACATAAACTGCTTGATAAAAGAATAAGGTATTGACAATTCACTTGGAAACTCAACATATACCCTCACAACACTTACCAAGGAGGAAATCCTGGATAATTATAGGTCTGTTCTATGTTCCTTTGGAATTTCAACCAAAGATGAAGAACTGGATCTTCCTACACTGTATTGGATACCTTAATTACATAAGTGTCCTTACAAACAATGTTATATTGCTGGGTCTTTCAAGTGCTCAACGAAAACTCTGTCTAAATTATTAACATCAATTTTATCAGCAATCAAAGCCGGGCTTCAAAGTTTTTGTGAAACCTACCTATTCTAGAGGTGACTGGAATCAGATGTGGATACTGAAAATTCCAAAGATCTGATAGAGTACATAAATCTAAGACCCTTTCATCTTGCAATAGTATTAAAACATTTGACTTTTCAACACTTTACACAAGTATTCCTCATTCTTAACTAAAAGACAAATTGAAAGAGTTGGTCCTGCTTTGTTTCATAAAAAAGAATGGCCAACGTAGATACAAGTATCTTGTCTTAGGGAGGAATAAATCGTACTTTGTAATAAAATCACTCAAACAAAATTTTTTCTGAAAATGACATTATCAAGATGCTTAATTTCTTGATAGACAACATATTTGTTATGTTTGAAGGACATGTTTTCAGCAAACAATCGGCATTCCCATGGGAACTATCTGCACCCCTCTTCTTGCCGACTTGTTCCTCTATTCATATGAGGCTGACTTCATACAGTAGCTTCTTAGGAAGAAAGAAAAGAAGTTAGCATTATCCTTTAACTTCACTTTCCACTAATAGATGATGTCCTCTCACTAATTAATTCAAAGTTTGGTGACTATGTTGAATGCACCTATCGCACGAACTTGAGATAAAGGAAACAACAGATACAGTTAAGTCTGCCTCATATCTTGACTTACATCTAGAAATTGACAATGAGGGTAGATTGAAAACAAAACTTTACGACAAAAGACATGATTTTAGCTTCCCAAGTGATGTTGCTAAGTCTTTAGTTTTCTATGTTGTATTTTGTGTACTGTTGTTTGTCTTTTGGTCTTTCTTTTTTGTGCCATGGCATTGTGGTTATGGGATTTTATTCATAAAAAATGGGAGATTTTCCTCTGACTATAACTGATGAAACTTTGTTGACTCGTTTATATCTACTGAAATAAGCTCCCTTTTGGTTATTTTTATGAATTTCTGATACATTGTATGACATTGAGGAGTTTTAAACTTTATTCATTGAAAAATCGTTGTTTTGTGTCAATGGGTACCACTATGTGTGCAATAATTTTTTTTTGGGAGGAGGGGGAGGGGTCTTTTTGAGCAGTGCTAACAGTATTTCTTGTTGATCATATAATATCCTTTAACGCATATAGACAAGCTAAAAGGGCAACAGGTGTATCATGCGCTCATGGCGCAGTTCTTTATTGTACATTGAAACACACAATGGAAGTAGGATTTTTATTTTGTATTCATATAACTATACAAATGTTAGTGTAGAAAAATCTTCCATAAAGTGTATTACAGTATCAGAAGTTTTTATTTTATACTTGCATATAGAAAGAGTGAGGTATTATTTTGTTTGTTTACCTATGTACTTTTCTACTTGCAGATAGAAAGAGTAATATTTTGTTTGTTTTTACAAAAAGATGTGGATATTTATGAAGAGCTTATGCAACATTACTTCCCTATAGAATCAGATGATAGTGGTATGGAATATTTTATGGCACATTGCTAAAATGCTTATTACGAAAAAACAACTGTCCTTGAATCCTTTGTGCGCTTTTGCCTTTCTATAGTATGCTTTGGAGGCATGTTTTTATTGCTGGATAAATTTATAGGTAAAACAATGACATGCTAGATGTTATTAAGCTGCTGTCTCATTGATGTATGTTCCTTTTTTTTAAAAAACAACCAATTATTATACTTTATGTTAAAATGCCAGATTTTGATTGGCTAATACGAGGGAGATAATTTACTCTGTTTTTTTTAATGTCACCCTTTCATGCAGACCAATAAAAAATCAATATTTTAAAGGACAATGAATTGAATTTACATCAATGAATTAAAGACATTGCTCAAGTTCTACATTAAGGCCTCATAATTTTGTCATATACTATCAAAATAAAAAACATTTTGCTTCATTTCTGTTGTTTTTCTAATAACTGTAACGTCATTATGTACGTGACATCATAGTTAAGTACTTTCAATTTAAAATTTAATAGTAAAAGACAATAATGATAGAACATTTAGTATAATAAATTAAATAACACATAGCTGAGAGGGTGGTTGGTCCTACTGTCGCCTTTATTACATTAGGCCAATTCAAAAATTTAAAACTCATGGAATGGCAATTCATGACACTGCAATGCATACTTTTAAAAAAAAAATTCAGATGAATGAATCAGGAATGAGTTTCACAAAAAATCTTACAACTAAAGTTGATCGTAAGTATACTGAATTGTGTAAGACTTACGATCAATTTTAGTCGTAAGATTTTTTGTGAAACTCATTCCAGTATCTTACCATTTTATTGATTTATGTACTCAAATTATCTGTGCTTTTTATATTGTTTTAGTTCTTTGGCTTAATGCATGACTAATAGTTTTTACTGCTTTAGGGCTGTTCCATTAAAACATACATGGTACCCAGGGAAGGCACTTTGAAAACAGAGTGACCACCTATAGAAGCGATTTTAGAGTCCTGCATGATTTTAAACCTATTCAACACAATATTTCACACCCACCCATAGTGGCAACTTTAAGTTGCCTCCCTGGGTCCCATGTATGTTTTTATGGAACAGCCCTTAGCTTTATACTGCATAAAAATAATGTTTTGGTGCTTTAGCTTAATGCATGAATATATTTTTTTAATGCTTCAGCTTCATGCATGATTAATAGTTTTTAGTGCTTTAGCTTAGTGAAAAGATGTATGATGTTTTGGTGCTTTAGCTTAATACCTGAATATATTGTTTAGTGCTTTAAACAAGGAATTATTTGAATCTGGAATAATTTTGAATTCTGGAAAATTGATAAGAAATGTATGTTGAAAACTAATCTAACTTAAGTGGGCTAGCCATGCACGCATGGCTAAGGTTAATTTTGCTTTCACTGATATTTCAGTATGAACTAACTAATCCCCTTAGCCATGCATGCATGGCTAACCCTCCTTAATTGGGTTAGTTTTCATCATACATTTCTTATCAATTTTCCAGAATTCAAAATTATTCCAGACTAATAATTCCTTGTTTTTAGCTTAATGCATGACTAATAGTTTTTACTGCTTTAGCTTTGTGCATAAATATAATGTTTTGGTGCTAAAGCTAAATGTATGAATATATTGCTTTACAGAAGTGCTTTCACTTAATACATATCTATATTTTCTTTTTTGTAGTCTTTAAAATGCATGTAATGACTTGTTTATGACATAATTATGTATGTTTTAAAATGTTGATCTGTATTTTGCATGTTATGTCTCTTTTTTTACGTAATTTGTATTTATGAGTAGTACCTAGTTTGGTTTTAAAAGCTCTGATGAGTTTATGTTATAATGTTTTGTATATGAACCAACTCTAAATAAATCTTTTGATTTGATAACGAATTGTTGGTTATAATCAAGATTCCTCATTTAAGATCTTGGTATCTTCCATGAATGTGAGAAATTTCATCTTTATATGATAGGGATACTGTAAATTAAAGACATCATAACATAACATGAACTCTTCATTCAAGTGCAAATTATCTTGATATTGTATTTTTAAAGCAAATCAGAACCTTTTTGTCCTATAACATGACATTCAAAAATTGCCATGCAGAACAAAGTTTCAATTTATTTCCAATAATGTTTATAGTTACAAATGTGAAGTTAAATGAATGGCTGAATTTGATTGAAACAGTCTTTTCTGATTAGAAATTGCCTCACATGTTCCAATCAGGGCTTCCAAAATTATTTTTAGCCAGCCGGACATTTTATATATTATCCCGATTTTAATCCTTTAAGACAAAATAAACAAAAGGCAATTATGGTAATCAGTTGCTGAGTTGGCCATCCCAATGATTGACATTAAAAAAAAACGATATTAAACTTTCTTTGATTCAAATTCGAAGTTCTGACGTAAACTGTTAAATTGGCAGTGCATCATTCGAAGTGTGCAACATCAGCGTACTTATATCAGCCTTAGACTCTTTATTTGTGCAAAATAACGATGTCAAAAACTTTACTTTCGTTTTTAAATCTAATACCGGATGTTATCTTGACAATGGTAAAACATGGACCAGAGACGGATACGTAAATTCCGTGTATGTTTGCAAAGCATGAATGAGTGTAAGTAGCTCTTTCTACGTTATTTCTTCAAGAAAACATTCGAAATAAACGTGAAATAAAGGCATCAATGACAATTGAAGCATTTTTTGATGAAATTAGGATGCATAATTAAATTTCACACCTTTGCACATGCGCACACGTGAACTAGTTCAAACAGAGACATGTCTCTGGTTCAAACAACGTGGTTATGACGATTTTTCATTTTCACCTTTTTAATTTTTTCATCAAATCATATTTGCAAAGGTATTTCTGATAATTTAAATCTTTTTTACTAAATAAATTAGATGCAAACCGCTGAAATGTAAGAAAATAACTTTGAATAGACCGATCAATGTCCTGTTCAAAATAGTTTACCTGTCACCTGAACAGGTAAATTTCAGCTGTTCGACAACTAATCAGACTTGATTAAAATGAGAAGGTATTAAAGTAGGGGTTATTTTGATAGTACTTAATGATCATGTCACTTTTATGACCGGAAATGTGTGGCTGTTAAAGGCAAAAGGTTGGGTCAAAAAGATCGCGAATTATGTTAAAATTACCATCTCTTAAGAAAGCCTTGAAAACTAAAAAGTAGATGACCATTTTATGCTTTGCCCAGCCGGACTTTTACCGGACATTATACAAATGTCCGGAATATATGACCGTTTTGGAAGCCTTGGTTCCAATCTTTTTAAGGCAATCTCTTACTATACAGCAGATTATGGTAGAAATGTTTTTTTTTGGTTCAAAAGACTCTCATTAAACACAGGGAGGACAAACAAACAAAAACCCATTTGGAACATTTAATCTTGCACAGGCATGATAAAATTATGGGGTTAAACTGGTATTGTAAAGCCCAAAACAATTTGTGTGGATAAATAAATTTATGGACCTAAACCTTCCTACCTCTTCCTCTTTTCTAGATTATTTTATTGGTCCCTGTTCTTTTCATTTCAATTTAAAAAAGAAATTAAAAATAAATAAAATTGTGTGACTTTTTAATGATCAGATCAGCCTGTCTAAGTTGATTGTGTTAGAAAAGTCTATTTGCTAATTCTGTAACTAATCCTGTTATTAGAGATCCATTAGTAAGAGTTGTTTCCCTTAAATTGTCACTGATAATGCAGAGCTAGTAGAAAGAGCAAATTCATCTGTGCTGAAAATGTGTAATCTTTGAGTCTTTTAAATAGTAAGTAAGTCAGTAAACTTTATGTCAAGTCAGCACATATATACAAAACAAAAAGTCACTTCATCTGTTAAAATTACAGTTAAACTTTAATTAAAGCTGAAAGCTTTTGATATCAACAGTTACTTTTCAATAGAAATTGTTTAAAACACCTATATACATCACTTTCAACTTATCATGCTTTGCATGGGCAGCAGCCCATTTTATCTAGTTAAGAACCAGTCTATAATTGGCAAAGGGAAACAACTTATGTGTGTAATAAAATAAAAGGGAAACAACTTATGTTAAATGTGTGTAATAAAATAAAAGGGAAACAAATTATGTTAAATGTGTGTAATAAAATAAAAGGGAAACAACTTATGTTAAATGTGTGTAATAAAGTAGAAGGGAAACAACTTATGTTAAATGTGTGTAATAGAATAAAAGGGAAACAACTTATGTTAAATGTGTGTATTAAATAAAAGGGAAACAACTTATGTTAAATGTGTGTAATAAAATAATCAAATCAAATACTTATATTAAAGTGCAAAAATAAACTTTGCAATATTGAAATATGTAATTTTTTATATTTATTTGTAGATAGATCTAACAAGGAATCAGACAAAGACGACAAAGTCTCTGCTTTAGATCAAAATGGAGAGGAAAATGAAGATGTTATAAAAACTAAAAAACTGAAAAAGGACAATGAAATGAAAATCATGAATGAAAAAGTTATGGATGTGAATGACTTGGAAAACAAACCTCCAGAGGATAAAAAAGAAAATGATTCATCTGAAAATAAAACTGTGATTGAAAATAAAATGGAATTTCATTCAGAAACTAAAACTTCTAAAGATCAGAAAACGGAAGATTCTTTACAAAATAAATTAATGAACGAGAAAGAAATGGAAGTTGATTCCATAAATAAATCTTCAGACGACACAAAGATGGCAGACATTTCAGACAATAAATCACCAACTGAAAAGAAAATGGAAGTCAGTGATGGGGAAAGTTCTGAAAAGGATATGGAAACTAATGATGGCAAGCCACTGCTTACTGTAACAAAAGGAGAAATAGAGTCTTCATCTAAAACAAAAGGAAACAAAGAGTCTTCATCTAAAACAAAAGGAGAAAATAAATCTCCTTCTAAAACTAAAGGAGAAAAAGAATCTCCTTCAAAACCAAAACCTTCAGGGACTGTTTCAAAACCAATTACTAGAAAGGACTTACAAAACAAAGAGACCACATATCTTTAAGAAGTACTTTTAGTTGACATATTTAGGGTTATTTCTATGTTTGATAGTAAATATCCAGAAAAAAATAATTGAATTTGTTAATAAAATTCCAGACAGGCTTAAAGCTTATTACTTTTGATAAAAGCTTTGTATAAATACTGAATGTTATGTTTTGCACTAGATCTTGATGTGAAAGTGCTGCTAATTGTTGGTGACAAATGGTGACAGATTGTATTATATGTAGTATTTTGTTGGTCATGAAGGGATTGGTTTTGTACTTAAAAAAAAACACATCAATGGATATCATTATTTATTTTTTTTAATAAAAATTTTGTGATTTGACATAACCATGACAACAAGGGATATTTGCACACAAAAAATGTACTTTTTCACAGAGTGATGAAGGGTAAATTATTGAGCTTCACAAACATTTTCATAATACAACAACTTTTGTTCAGAAGTAAGGATGGCCATTCTTAACATATCCATTTTTTTTTACTTTGTTAATCCTCAGGAATTTTCTTAAATATTGCCGTGAAAATATTGCCCAGCAATCCTTATATTCCTTTTTTTTTTTCATTTTAAAAGATACTTATCAAATACACTTTTGGCAAAATTGTTAAGAAATTCTGGTTTTTAATGCTTTATTTCTTAACAGTTTTATGCTAAAGTCTTTCCATTTAGGCACCATTGCTGACATTTTCATGTATTGCAAATTCAGTATGTATGATTTTTACTGTAAGCATTTTTGACATTTGACTAATACTCTGGAGGAGTTTTTTAATGTAAAGTTCTTTACTTTTCTTACATTTTAGTATTTAATATCTCTCTCTATACATTCCCTGAAATTTTTGTTTTGTTACGAGAAGAAGCTTCAGATTTAGGATGTTTGTCATTGATCATGACATTTTAACTTTTCACAATAACATTTGGAAGGTTCCAAGAAATTAACCTTACCAATGTATAACAAAAAATTGTCCTTATATTTCTCTGTACAATTTTAAAAGATACATAAAACATTTGGGAAAATATTATGTTATTCTAACAAAAAGGCGCCGCGAAATAGCCTTTTTGTTCTGATGGGGCGTAAAGCAATCACCAATCAATCAATTTAACAAAAAGATAGTTTTATTCAAGAATATTTCGTTTGTTTTTGGTTCTTCAAACCAGGTTACAAAACATTGATTCATTGATGCTTGCTTACGCCGCATCAGCGCAAAAAAGGTTATATCTGGCAACAGGTTACATAACAAATAGATATTGAGAATACATTTGTAATTCATTGTCTTAGGTTCCTATGGATTGTTTTGCCATAAAAATAACCAGATTTTTTTAGCTTTTGTTGAAAGCTTCATGTAAGTATTTGTTATATGCTATTTTTATTATATATATTTTGACTTCATATAGGAAAATAAAAGATGAAAAAAAAAGTATTTTTTTAACTTGCATGGCCACTGTGAAGTCTATCTGAGCTGTAGGACCTACTCTACGTCTATCAAATGAGATGATTGCCAAATTTAACTCATAACTGCTGTCATGTTACCAGCCTCTCAATAATTACTGAAGGTAATTTCATCAATGGAAACCCAGAAAGAAAGAAGACAATACACTGCTGAAAGAGACTATGTTGACCTCTATATGTCTTATTGCTTTTTATTTTGTTGGGTTGCTGTCTTATTGATGTATCCCCAATGTCTACTTGTATTCAAATTAGACAGTTGGAAGAATGGAATAACATTTAATTATTTTTTTGTGGTTGAAAAGAGTAATTTAAAAAAAAAAAACCTTTGATCAACCCAAGTCCAAAGAGTTACCTCCCCATGATCCTGATCATTGTTTTCATTTTAAAAGCAATATTTCAATATATAATATATAAGTGATTTGTTTTGAATATAGAGCAAATCACATAAAAGAGCTTCCTTAATAGGGTAAGCATATCAATTGCTACATGCCCCTCCTATTACACAACTAAGTTATCAAACTTGCAATGATTCAAATGCTAAATAAGTATTGACAGCATTAAAGTTAGTACCAGCGTTCAATTTAGACCTTAACAAAAATTGACCTAGTGAGTCAGGTCAAGTTTCCAATAAGCCAATATGTTTTCAACTTTAATTTTAAACAAACTATTTTTTCAAAAACATATCGGAACAAGTTTTTTTTTTGTTTTTTTTTATTCAATGTTGATATATCTTTTTAACAAGTTTTCAATAGAAACAATTATTTTGAATACTCCCCTTCTAAACCAAATGATTCATTTTAAAAAGTTAAGATTCAAATAATTATAATGAAAAAAAATCATGCCTGGACAAAGATGAATGGTTTGTTTGTTTTTTGCTGGTACTTAATCACTTTGGGCACCCCTGGTTATGTCATGGTGGCTTTTTTATTGGTGGAGAAAGTTTGGAGAACCCAGAGAGAACCACAGTAGCTGACCTTCAGCAGGAAAAATGCCCATTCTTGTCAATTTATATAGATCAGGGTTGTGAGATGGATTTGAAGGGCTAGTGATCAATGTAGATGAACTAGTGATTCTAATTTACAACCTCAGATTTGAAAGGCTAGTGACCAATGTAGATGAACTAGTGATTCTAATTTACAACCTCAGATCTGAAAGGCTAGTGATCAATGTAGATGAACTAGTGATTATAATTTACAACCTCAGATTTGAAAGGCTAGTGACCAATGTAGATGAACTAGTGATTCTAATTTACAACCTCAGATCTGAAAGGCTAGTGATCAATGTAGATGAACTAGTGATTATAATTTACAACCTCAGATTTGAAAGGCTAGTGACCAATGTAGATGAACTAGTGATTCTAATTTACAACCTCAGATTTGAAAGGCTAGTGACCAATGTAGATGAACTAGTGATTCTAATTTACAACCTCAGATCTGAAAGGCTAGTGATCAATGTAGATGAACTAGTGATTATAATTTACAACCTCAGATTTGAAAGGCTAGTGACCAATGTAGATGAACTAGTGATTCTAATTTACAACCTCAGATTTGAAAGGCTAGTGACCAATGTAGATGAACTAGTGATTCTAATTTACAACCTCAGATTGAAAGGCTAGTGATCAATGTAAGATGAACTAGCATTTCTATGAAGTGTTTTTCACACATGCCATTAAGTGGCAGCTGTAATATGCAGTGAACATCATATGCATATGATGCATACATTTTACTATTTATAGAGAAGGGAACATCACGTTTGGAGGTTTTATAATTACTTGATATATTGCATATATTATTCATTGCTTAAGTCAAGAATTATATGTAAAGATAAATCTTGATTTAATTATCAATGAAATCATGATTATTGAATGACATCAGGATTGATTATTGTTCTGCTTATTAAAATTCCAGTAGCAACAGCTCTGTTAAGTCTCATGTTATTTGCCTGAGACTCACACATTTTCATGCTCATTTTGGGCATTTTCCTTTGATCTATTGTTTTTTATACGACCGCAAAAATTAAAAATTTTTTGGTCGTATATTGGTATGACGTTGGCGTCGTCGTCGTCGTCGTCCGGCGTCGTCCGAAGACACATTGGTTTTCGCACTCTAACTTTAGTTTAAGTGAATGGATCTCCATGAAATTTTACCATAAGGTTCAATACCACGAAAGGAAGGTTGGGATTGATTTTGGGGGTTATGGTACCAACAGTTAAGGAATTAGGGGCCAAAAATAAGCATTTTTGTAACTTCCAGACAATAACTTGTGTGTAAGTGTATGGATCTCTCTGACATTGTACCACAAGGTTCCATATCACAAAGGAAAGGCTGTTATTGATTTTGGGGGTAATTGCCTCAAAATTTTAGGAATTAGGGGCCAAAAAAGGGAAAAAAACAAGCATTTTTCTAGTTTCATGACAATAACTTGTGTTCAAGTGTTTGGATATTTCTGAAATTGTACTACAAGGTTCCATATCACAAAGGGAAAGCTGGAATTGAGTTTGGGGGTAATTGCCCGAAACGTTTAGGAATTGAGGGCCAAAAAGGGGCCAAAAATAAGCATTTTTCTAGTTTCCAGACAATAACTTGTGTTCAAGTGTATGGATCTCTCTGAAATTGTACTGCAAGGTACCATACCACAAAGGGAAGGCTGGGATTGAGTTTGGGGGTGATGAATCATAAGGGGGTTCAAAAAATTTGGGGGGGGGTGGGGGGTTTTTAACTTTTTTTTTCTTTTTTTCCTTTTTTTTTTCTTTTAAAATTTTCCATTTTAAGTTGGTTATTTCTGATTAATATTTAAAAGCAAATAATAATGATATGGTAGGAGATACACACCAAACAGGATGTGTAAATTATTATATAATAAGTATTGTGCAATAGCAAGAAATTTTCAATTGCACAGTATTGCACAATAGCAAGAAATCTTCAATTGCACAGTATTGCGCAATAGCAAGAAATCTTCAATTGCACAGTATTGCGCAATAGCAAGAAATATCCAATAGCACAATATTGCGCAATAGCAAGAAATTGTCAATTGTACAGTATTGCGCAATAGCAAGAAATATTCAATTGCACAGTATTGTGCAAAAGAAGATACTTCGTATAAATTGCTTATTTCTTGATCAATTTCAATGGGGTTTTATTCTTGAATTCTTGGGGTTCTTTAATATGCTGAATATAACCGTGTATTAAGTTTTTGGATTTTGGGCCCCGTTTTTAAATTGGTCCACATTGAGGTCCAAAGGGTCCAAAATTTAACTTTGTTTGATTTCATCAAAAATTGAATTATTGGGGTTCTTTGATATGCCGAATCTAACCGTGTATTTAGATTCTTAATTTTTGGTTCCGTTTTCAAATTGGTCTACATTAAGGTCCAAAGGGTCCAAAATTAAACTTAGTTTTATTTTAACAAAAATTGAATTTTTAGGGTTCTTTAATATGCTGAATCTAAACATGTATTTAGATTTTTGATTATGGGCCCAGTTTTCAAGTTGGTCCAAATCGGGATCCAAAATTAAACTTTGTTTGATTTCAACAAAAATTGAATATATGGGGTTCTTTGATATGCTGAATTTAACCATGTATTTAGATTTTTGATTTTTGGGCCCCGTTATCAACTTTGTCCACATTGAGGTCAAAAGGGTCCAAAATTAAACTTTGTTTGATTTCATCAAAAATTGAATTCTTGGGGTTCTTTGATATGCTGAATCTAACCATGTATTTAGATTTTGGATATTGGACCATAATAGGTGAATGTCCAATTTAAAATTTTTAAGTTCTTAGACCACATTCATTCTGTGTCAGAAACCTATGCTTTGTCAAATATTTAATCACAATCTAAATTCAGAGCTGTATCAAGCTTGAATGTTGTGTCCATACTTGCCCCAACTGTTCAGGGTTCGACCTCTGCGGTCGTATCAAGCTGCGCCCTGCGGAGCATTTTATTTCTTTTTGATCTTTACAATTTTTGCCAAATCTCAAGCATTTGCATCATGAAAACTTGACAGCCCTGTAGCAAATATTACATACATCTTGATCAGTACAACGGTTAAACATCTTTTTGAAGTGGGATTAGACACCAAACAATTGTGCATATATGAACATTGTTTTTCCTTATATGTAGAAAAAGTGCAGAAATTGTACATGTTATCCAACAGTAGCGGACCTAATTGCCTAGATGTTCCTCTTATAGATTTGATTTGATTTGATTTTTGGTGTTTTAACGCCACTTTTAAGCACCGCTTTTGGGCTATTTCGTGGCGGCCAGTTTTTATTGGTGGAGGAGGCCGGAGCGCCTGGAGAAAACCACCGACCTTCTATAGGAAAACTGACAATCCTAGTCAATTAAGATTGGAGTCGAGTGCACCCGCACGAGCGGTGTTCGAACTCACAACCTCAGTGTTGACTGGCTAGTGATTACAGTAGTAACTATTTAGACCTTTCAGCCACCGAGGCCCCCTCTTATAGAAGAAAAAAGAATAAACTGATACACAAAAAATAATAAGTATATCTTTGGTCTTTATTTGAAATGTTTTGAAATAAATTAGATATACCCTATGGCTCTAAGATGTTCTGTTTAACCATGCAAATTATTGATTGTTTAGATATACATTTTATAAGTCGTCCGTTTTTGTCCTTGATTTTTTCAGTAACATTGGTATTTAGTTACATCTTCATAGAAATCCAGATTACCTCCCTTGAAAGAGTTCTTTAGGGCACTATGGAAATTGTGACGCTTTCAGAATTCGAAATGTGTTTTGTAAAATTATTATCAGATAGTAAAGACATAATTTCCAAACGGTCTTTGTAGATAAAATACATAAAGAACATTCAGAAAACACATGGAACCCTCAAGTAAAAGAAAAACCTAGAGTGACATCATTTATTTTTGGCAAAACACTTTGAGCAGCTTAATTTTTATTTAATAATAAGAATAACAGATTAACATTTTAAAATCATACAACAGAAAATGTATGTTTACATTTAATAAAGATCATACAAGACATACAATACTCAACAAAATTATATTTGCATATCAGTTAATGTTCTTATAGTTGCTTAATCAATGACTGGTGTTTGACAGAGACAACCTGAATAAAATGGAACTTCAGTATTTGAAAAATATTAGAACTGCATTCAATCCTGCTCATATTCAGATAGCACTTGATGGAAATTATTTAGCACTTCCTTTGACACGTACAACTGTAGGTGTGTGGAGTTTGCAAGATTTGTCATTCAAGGTAAATAAATCTTTCGGCGTAGACAACAATAGCAATTGGTTTATTTATAACCACTGACAACTGTTACAACTTGCAACATCTTAAGCTTTCTTGTGAGTGTTTTATGGACTTCTGTTTTTCTTTTCTTCTTTTTTCTTATTTGCCATGTAGTCCTGGAAGGCGTCACAGACTCACAGCAAAAACTTTAAATTACAATGTAGCTTTACTACGAGACATAATTTTTTTTTATCTAATTTACCATGTTGTTGCTGGTCCTTCTTTGAAATTAAGGAATAATAGTTGCCACAGTCAATTGGGGATTTGACAGTTGCAAATGCAGTTTTACTGATGGAGCGGAAACACTGAGAGGAATATTTGCGAACGTCAAATCCAAAATTGTAGGTTGCACCTTTTAATATACAGTACTGTTATTCCTGTTCTAATGCAATACTCTTAAATGTTCATGATGTTCGAAATAAAACATTAAAATATCCCAGAATCATGGACTGCCAATTACAGCCCATACATGCCATAAGGAAGAGCAGGTCAATCAGCCTGAAAACAAAGATCAGAATATACACCATCAATGTGAAGTCAGTTCTTCTATATGGGGCAGTATGCTGGAACACCTGCTTGAGGAAAATCTGTAAGATCTTCTGGCACAATAAAATAACCAACAAAGACCTGTACCACAAAACCAATCAATGTTGTAATGAGACATAATTAAAAGGAAGAAACTGTGTTGGATTGGTCATGTATTTAGGGAAGGAAATGAGGATATCACCAAGATCGCTTTGCGATGGACACATGATGCTAGATGAAAAAGAGGGAGGCCAAAAGAGACATGGCGTAGAATGGTAGAAACTGAGATGATAGACCTTGGGAAGACCTGGAAAGAGATTGAGAATAAGACAAAAGACAGCCCTAATTCCCCTTACCTTAAACTTAAGAACATGTTTGGTTTAAACAGGTGTTCTGTTTATGTAAGCTTCGTTTTGGACAAGTTTCACTGTATTATTACAAAAAGTTGCCATCTTTTCAAAATCTCCATGGGGGATTTTAAGCACAAGAGGACCTAATGCTCCTCTTATATTAATTGTCATAAGTGTTCCTAATCTACTTCTATATTGTTTGAATGAGTATAAATGTGCTTAAATACCCTTTTAACTCATTTGAATGCCTGTTTTGAGGTCCTCAGTTTACACAATAAAGAATTTCAAAATTCAGGTCAACACCTCTCATAGGGGAATCACCCATTCTCATGGGGGATATCCCCCATCAATTGGGATAGTTGGCAGGCCTGATAGTATCCATATAATGCAAATACTATTATAAGAAACTAAATTTTTAATTGAGCATATGTCAATTTTTTCACCTATAGCCATTGGAACTTGAAGGTCATAGAAAGACTCTGAGATGCATGTGTTTTGGACATGGATCACAGCCAAAGTATATATGCACAGCTGCAGATGATTTTGTTATTGTTTGGAATATACATCTTGCCAGACAAGCAGTCAGTAAAGGTACTTATGCATAGTTTGTTATCCTTCTAATCATTGATACAGCTTCATAAAGAAATGAGTGAATGACAAGGTGAAACCAGACTCACCTTAAGTACAGTCAGGATTCTACTTCGTCAAAATTATCTCCCCATTACGCCACCTAATTTTTATAATCGTAAAAATGGAAGCCATTGTAGTGATGTAGCACTCAATTTAGCTCTTGAAATCCAATAAATTTAGCATCATTACAACAGTTGTATTTTTAAAGACAAAGGTATCTACTAGCTATTTAGCATCATTTAATGTACTTTTTTGCATTTGGTCAACTTAAAACAATTGTCTGATCGGTAGTCAGGGGGAATTTTCGAAAGTTCAAAAATATTTAATAAAATTCTAATTAAATATTTCGTGGAAGGACAGACTAAAAATTTTCAGAGGTTGAAGACTAATTACCCTAGATAACAAGTTATGCATTTTAAAGATCCACTTGAACAGTCTGTCGTCAAGTACTTTTAGTGAAAATTTGTTATTCGAACACACCTACTCTGTTGTTATGACTCATTAGAAAGGTTTTTCACTTGACCCATACATTTAATTTTTTAGCACTGTAAATTTTCAATGTTATCAACCTAGAGCCTAAATATATAAAAATAATAGAATCTGAAGTGAGATGATGTATCAAATATTTTTCTTTTATACGTTTTCAAGACAGAATAGTCAACTCAAACACGCCTAAACATTAAAAGATTTTTTCTTTTTGATGAAATTATTGGCCATTTTGGGGATTTTTTCCCAAAAAACTGTCGCCGGGGGCAGAGATGCAAATTAATGCTTTAAAAAGATCAATTTATTATCTTTCTTTGGATTTTTTTTGGCGGAATTTATGCTTATGTACAAAAAAGATCCACATGTAGTTGCACCTACCACAATCGACTGTTTTGTGAAAATTTGTCTATAATTCAAAAGTTTACAAATATTTTGAAGCATCATACCATAATTTAAGTAAAATTACATACAAAAGATGCATAAAATCCTAAATTATGTACATTCATTAAACTTTTAAAGCCCATAGAAACAGATATAAAAATTTCAAATTTACCAACTTGGCCTTTTTTACCTTCTCTAACAAAGAGTTCCATTTCTTTTGTTTAATTTCAACTGGGTTTCCGCCTGAAGTAAAGATTCTTTGAAAAAAGAGAAGATGGAGTGTACCTTTCAGTTTTGTACCTTACTCTTTTTTTTTTATGAATTACCAGAATGAGGCTAGAACCTTCTTATCTAACAATCTGATTGTTTTTCTTCATGAAAATCATGTAAAAACTGATGAAGTTTAGGTTGAAACCCTGCCTATTCCAAGTTAAATTTCTGGATCTGTGCCTGTGTAAAGAAATTTGTTTTTATAAAGATTTAGTGTGAAGAGAACCTTTTCATTGATTGATTGTTTTTATTTAAAGGCCTGGCATAAAACATCATAGCTTATAGAAAATATTAGGTCAATATTACTTAGAAAAAAAAAAGTAGTAAGAGTACTGCATAAAAATGCTCTTGTGAAAAAGAATAGAATTCAAATTATCTAGCAGAAGAAAAGCGTTTGACAAGTTTGTAAAATTTCTTGCATATTGAGTTTTTTAAGGTTAATTTCTACCATGAGAAATTTAATGATTTAATGGTTTACAAATGAGAAAGCCATGCATTTTCTATTTTACAGGTAATCAAGTGAAAGGTAAAGTAATAGGAACAACACTAGGATGTATACAGTATTGTTCATTCAGTCCAGACGACAGACTAGTGGCTGCTTGTTGTGAGAATGATGTTATCATTCTTGAAGTCAAGGTTTACATTTTTCTTCATAATGGATGCTTTATGTATATTTGCTTTTTAGACCACACAATACAATTAACAAAAATGCATCAAGCATTGTTTAGAAGGCAACATACAGACTTTAAACAATGGACAGATGTCTATAAAATAAGGCCTGTGTTAACCCTGTATTCATGCTTACAGCTCATACAATTAGGGTCAAGCTAGGCATTTTTTTTTTCCTAAAAAAATTTACAATAAGATCAACAGGTGAAAAAGTCTTACTTTAATAGGGCTTTTTCAAACATGATAAAAATGAAATCTAGTGTGGGCACTAAAAAATAGACACTCAATCTAATTAGCAGAATTTCATGTAATGTTTAGTCCTAAGTCAAGTTCTGAATTGCCCCTGTTCTGAAAAAAAGATAAAAGAATAAATTAAATTTAACAGAAACAATCAAAAGATTTTCTGTCAACATCGAAAGTCCATGTTTTTTTTGAAATATGACAAAAGACAACCACTGATGAGATTCCTAACATGGGACAAGCTTTTTATGTCTGTTTTATAATTCTTAAGTAAATTTTGTTCTCACCTCAACAAAGTTATAGAGGTGAGACTAATGAATGCTGTTTTCAGTGTTGGTTGTGTAAAGTTTGTGATTAGGTCAGTTTAAGAGGAACTATTGATGGTAAAGTGTTGCCATTTTAATTTTGACATTTGCATTATACTATCAAAATAAGATACAGGCGAAAAATATCTCTGTGTCAACAAATTCATGTACTTACAATCTGGTCTTGAGAATGATCACATGATAAATTACTAAAAATTTGAAAATCCAGTATAATATGGAAGACATGTAGAATTTCTGATGATATTGTGAATTTTAAAGAAGCAGGACTTACAAAAATATATATATATATATATCATTGTAGAATGAAAAAGTACTTGCTACAGTGGAAGGTCACACCGCACGATTGACAGGTGCAGAATTTTGTCCACACTATACATCAACTCTGGTTACAATATCTGAAGACAGAACGTTTAAGGTAAGATCGGTTACAGTAATTCATTATTTTGTAGTTAAATAGAAAGTAAAATATATTTAGCAATAACCAGGAAATAAGGTGGAACAAATAAAATAACCTAAAAAACTGTAATGTTCCTGAAATCACCATTTCAGAATCTAAAGGACTGTGGGTAATTTCATTGTTTGTATCCCAAATGAAAATAACGTTACATCACTGGTAGAATTTCAATTGCTTAGGATTGGTTTATCAATCACAACATTTTGGTTAACGTTTATTAAATATTACCAAGAATGTGTTAGATTCTTAAATGGGGAATTGGTACAAGTGCATTTCACAGAAAAGTTTAAATCAGGATTTTTGCTATGTAAATATGACAGTATACACGTATGTTTGGTTTTTTTTTAATTTATGAAGTTAAAAATATTTATCTTTTAATTTTGATACTATTATTTTAGGTATGGGATATAAGTGATTTCAGTTTAGTGTACCAATCCCAGATCATCACAGCCTCACCATTTATAAGTCTGTCAATGCACCTTGAAAAACCTCAGGTGGCTATTGGAACGGCTGATGGTCAGGTAAGTTTGACTTTTATATTGAGAAATATGTGTGTTTTTTTCCTGTAAAAATTATTACAGTCAACTGTGCAATCAGAGTTATAAAACTCTGTGCATCAGACAATATTCAGCATTTTTTTTTTACCTTATATGATATATGTACACATTTCTTTGTAACATAATGATAACCTTCCTAGCTTTTAGCTTGTATAAGTTTTACTTTTGTATGATCAGAGTTATTAAAGTTTGTTCAGAAACTGGTGAAATTCTATCCATTTAGATGTGATGCAGAGAATTATTTTTAACAAAAGAATTTCCATTTCCAAAATTGATGCAGGTAATTACAAGGAAAGAAAATTCAGTTTCATTACACTTCTATACATGTATTACAAAATAAATAAAACAGGATGGATGTTGTATTTATAGCTTTTATCAGATCAATGTTTACTAAAAGAGAGTCAAAAGTCTATTTATACTGATTCTAATTGAAGGTTCGAGTTTATGATTTAACAGATGGGAATGGGTTTAGATGCCTACATCAGCTTGATGTGGAGAAAATTGTTAGAAAACAGAAAGAGAAGAAATTTATTGAACCACAGCCTAGTCAAGGTAATAAAGTTATTTGATTGGTTGGTGTTTCGGGAAACTGAGTTATTTGATTGGTTAATGTTTCTGAAAACTGAGTTATTTGATTGGTTAATGTTTCTGCAAACTGAGTTATTTGATTGGTTAATGTTTCTGAAAACTGTCATATTTAAGAACTGTGGATTCATTTATTTTTGTGGATACCAGCTGTTTTCATGGATTAAGGAAATTTTTTATTTTTGTGGATATTTGAATTTGCATGGTTTTACATATCTGCATCCCCCCCTTTTGAAAATTTGTACTTCTTTGAACATCTAAATTGGTGTTTCCCCATTAACCACAAAATCCACAAAAATTGTTATCCCACTAATAATAATAAATCCACTGTAAATTATTCTCCAATTATGCACATACATTTTTAAGTGACATACTGTTTAATTTGTAGGACCAGTAAAAATAAGCAGCAGACCATCATGGAAAAGACCTGACCAATCAGAAGAAGCTGAAATAGTCAGTGCAGAAGATGAAATAGAAACTGGAAGTGCAATATTAGGACTACATTTTACGTATGGATCTCAGAACAAATCGTCAAATTCGTCATCGACTCCTTCATTTCTTCGTCATGAAAACACATTACTGAAGTAAGTTCTTTGAGAATAAAATCTGTAATTATTGGTAATTTTTAATTATTGAAAGAAACTAAATTAATGGTTTTGATTTTGGAATTTTTTCAAGAAATGTTCATAAAAGGGAAGGAGAGGTACCAAAAAGCAGTAAGGTTTAATTTGTAAAATTTTTGGTGATTGTTTTTGAGAAATCAACGACCATTATAGTTCAAGAAGTAATTATAAAAATGTTTAACCCCTTTATAAATTCTTCTTTTTTATTTTACCCCATTCCAAAGGATGTCCGGGGGAGGGGGATATACTTTGGAGTTTACCATTGTCAGTCCATAACACAAGTCATATTTTTCTCAGCAACTACAAGTCATATATGAAAACCATGCTTTCTTTGATATTGCCATATACCATGTGACTGATGTTCTACTTCCTTTTGCCAAAAACTTATAAGCATTAGCTCACAGTACATCTGAGTGTTCATGTTGTTAATCTTTATAATGATGAAAAAAATAGTTGTATCAATATATTTGCTGGGTTTTTTTTTAGTGATTTATTGGATGCCTCTCCTATGTTATGTATTGGTACAACTGGTTCCCTGTTACAAATTAATGCCAAAACTTTAGATGTTTATAGATACTTTGACCTTCAAGGTAAGTATCAGTAATTATGAGCTTTCTAGAAAAACTCATTTTACCTTAACCTTATATGTCCAGAAGACATAAAACATTGATTGAAAAACTAAGTAAAATTAGGACATTTGTTATTAAAAAGAGTAGAATTTGTTATGCTAACATTTTCACTGTTTTCTGCCATATCCACGAAAGCAATTAAAGATCCTAATACTATAAAAGAGTGAAAATAGACATCTTTAAGATGTTGTTACTATAAACACAAACATAAAAAGAAATTAGTTGATGCAAAATTTCTTACATTTCTAATATATTTGTCCCAAGTTTGTACATTTAAAAAAAATACCAGTCTTGCTGATGTTTAAAAGTTTTATTCTATTTATAGATACTATTTTGACTGACATCCTTGATATGGATACAGTAGTTTTAAATGCAGCTGGCTCTGTATATTTCAGCCAAGGATCCTCACCAGATCAGGTAAGAATGAATAAATATTGAAGCTTTTGATTATATCAGTTAAAATGTCTTAAGAGAACATATACGAATGGACAAATACAAAAATTCAACTCCTGTTATCGAAAAGTTTGGGCAAACATTATCAGTGTCCTTGCATTGGACAATTGTCCATTGAGAAATTCAAAGAACATGGCCATTCAAAAAATCCAAACAGTTATTCTAATTATGCCCCAGACATAAGTCTATTGTACCTGTGGTACTTCTTGAATTCTTTCCTCATCCAGTGGTTGTAGCTTTCCTAATACACCTTTGATTTTTCATAAATTTTCAGAATCATAAAAAATCTAATTTGTGCTGTTTGTACAGTAAACTGACTGCAGAATAGACAAATTTTCATGAAGTAGTAAAAATGTATGAAGAAGAAAAAACTATCATGTACTGGAATTTTTTTATTCAACGTTAACAATTTTTTTTTAATTTTCAGATTTGGTGCCTTGTGGGAAGTCACTTTCAAAACACAGTAAATGTTCTCCAATGGAAGCATGCAGTCATTCATAATAATGAATCTGATCTGGCATCTGCTATGTCTGCTGTGTCTGTAGAACCTCAGTCTAGTACAGAAGAAGGCAAAGATGACGCCCTTCAGGAAGGGCATAGTTTTGAAGGGATTACAGTGTTATCAAAGTAGGTTTTTGGACTTGAAATTATTGTTGATATTCTATTCTGGAATCAGACGTCCTTGTTTGCCTAACATACACGCATTTTAAAATGTAACGTTTTACCCTGCCAACGTAAAACCTGAAAAAGCAGTTATAAAAAATTTAAAATAACATAAAGACTGTAAACAATAGTTTACTGACTTAACATAATAATGATAGAAGGATTTGGAACTGAGAAAATGTTCTGCCAATAGACCTTATCGCTATTTCGAAATCTGCGCCGCTCAACCAGAGAATCTGCGCCCCTTGAAATATTGATGCATACAACAATCACTTTTCCATTGTGGCGTCAGATATTTTCTATTATGACGGCAAAATTTTACGGGAACCTTTGTGATGTCCAGTAATGGCGGACAAATAGTGATAAGGTGTATCATCCCATTTTTCTAGATTCTAAGCCTTATTCCTATGTTGTTATTATTATTGTTTACTAATATTATTTTTTTTCATAAATATTCTCTCACTTCAAGGTTTAATCAAGATTTTTCTATATTAAGGTAAATGGTGCTACACAGAACAGTTAACTAAAGCATTTTGGGAAATACAAGTTTTAAAAGCAGATGCCAAAACTTGGAAATTGGTTGATTATGTCTGTAACACATAGTTTTCAATAATTTGGCATTATTTTTATTTTGATGTATGGACAATGAAATTACCCATAATGTTCTTATATACTGAACTGCCAAATTAGAATGCCAATTATGTACTAATTTTCATACTTTCTGTTCTTAGTACTCCACTACTTCCAAATTCAGCTCTTAGATCTGAAATGGTAAAAAAGGTGAAGGAAGATCCTAAAGCTAAAAAACAAAAAGGTATTTCAACCAAATATTACAGTGACAGATCTAGGTTTATATTAAAAAAGGAGATGATATCTTATAGATTTTATCTTTACAATTGCAAAAATATGTTTTTCAGTTTCAAAAATGGTATGTTTTAATACATAAAATAAATCAAAATGATAAAAATAAAGATTTAGGATCTTTTACTTTTTTTTTTTTGATAAACATTGACTTTTTGGAGTAAAAAGGATGTATTAGGACTTTAATTTTTGGTTTCTTGGGACAACACTGGGAATATCTTACAAAACAATTAACTTATATTTATCAACAAAATTATAAAAAAAATTATCAAATTACATGTATTTGATTATAGATATTCAAATATTCTAGTTTTGACTCTCAGCAGAGGTATGATTGGGGTATGTTGATATTATAATTTAACATCTTACAGGAGCAACACCACAGAAGAAGCCTGGTCAGATGATGAAAGATCAGCCAATTACATTTCATCACAAAGTGAAATCCTCAGGTTATACAGAGACACCAAGGTGATTAATTTGTTTCCAGTTGAATAAAAAAAAATCTAGAAGATTATTGTTACAAAGACAAAACAGAAGTTCACATTTTTAAGATAAAATAATTCTCTTCAGCTGAAAAAATATTTTAGAAATATTTGTGATCTGGTTCTTGTCATGCAAACATAGGGAGTGATTATGGTTCACATAATGATATATGGCAAAAAATTGCCATTTTGCTTATAGTTTTTGGTAAAATTAAATGTAAACAACAGCTTTACCCAAAAAGATATATGAACGAAAGCTTTTATAGGCCAGCAATTCCAAGGTTAAATTTTAAGTTTTTTATTTTATTGGTATGTGCCATGAAAACCATGAAAACCTGTTTCATGACATCACAAGTATTCATTCTGTCACAGGAAAAACTATTTTTTAAGTTGATATTGGCATGATTTTCTGTGTATTTTATTGGAAGGTTAAGTTATGAATGTTATTTAAAGGAAGTCAACTATTTATATGCAATGTACTGCACATTTCACTCAGAAATCTAACATAAAGTTCTTCAGATTTTATTTCATTTGTGAGTGGGACAGCTGAGTTTAACTCCTCCAAAATAAGCTTTAATGATATGATAATAAATGTAATATAATATAACCAAAAAGGCATCTTGTTCGTGCTCGCACAATGTTTTTCATTAACATTTTATTTTTATTACAGACAGACCCCCATGTTCAAACCTCAGACAAATTTTTCAAAGTCATCATCCAGCAACAGTTTGTTGTCACACAGTTCTTCATCATCAAGTTTAGGGTACAGTAAATTTCATTTGTAAATAAAAATACAAGTTACAGTGTTCGTTGAAATATATTTTTCTCAAAACTTTTCACTGACATTTTGTTGACAAATGAGGATGTGTAAAAATCATGATGAAAGGTTGTGGACTTTCCACAAAAGGAGAAGAAAAAAAGTGTATGTATAGCATATATATACACTTTAGAACATCCTATTATGATTTTAATACCCCTGTAAACAAAGCTTTGGAGGGTATATAAGAATCATCCTGTTTGTCTATTTCCATGTGCCTCGTGAGCACAACTTAACAACTAGACAGATTTTGATGAAACTTTACAGAAGGCTACTTGATGATTTGCACTTAAGAATATAATCCCGGTCAACCATGTTAAAGGGGATATAATCAAGTTTACTAACTTTAATATACTAATAGTATAGCAGGATATGTGGTATCCTATTGTGAGTTCACTCATAGTTTTTTTTTATGGTTTGTATATGATGAAAACTTTTAATGTGTACTGATAAAACCAATAACATTGACTAAGGTCTTCTTTGTAGACAGGTTCTGTCTCTTGTCATATCAGAGTAACTCTGTTCCCTGAATTCTGAAGAAACTATTTTTTGAAAGAATTGTAACAAAATTCTATAATACATTGCATATATTTTCTTAGGAAAAAACTAAAACATACTACACAGTTTGGAATGGTAAATTGCTATTCACTGTACAGTCAAATTCATTCTTAAAATTGCAAATATATTTATAATCTTTAGACCATGTTTTAATTTTTTTAAGAAAGTCAATGGACAAAACTTATCCGATGAAATGTGCTCCTCCTACAGAATGTCACTGTAAAATAGATGTTGCAGAAAGACCTACACCCATCAACAGAATTAAATTTTCAGGTGAGGATAGACATTTGATATTTAATTCATGTATTAATCACTCTTATCATGGCACTGAAACAAAAAATTCTCACAATGGGAAAAGGTCAGAATTAATTAGAATTGAATTTTCAGATAAGGACAAAAGATGTGGGATATCTATACCGGTATATGAATTATGATTTCAAAAATAAAATGTTTAATACATGTTTATAATCAATGTTATAGTAGTGAAACAAAAGTTTGCCAAAACTAAAAAAAGATCTTTTTTGGTTGAAATGCCATGGAAACAAAACATCTTTAAAGTTTTTTTTTTTTTCAATGTCTTTCGATTTGGTAACAAAAGAATATATATAAGGTTGGTGTTTCCTCTCTCACTTGTTAAATTCTAATATTATTTGATAATTTTCAGATGATGGCCAGTACCTTGCCACAGCCTTATCAAATAAATCAGGTCATGTGTTCAAACTACCTCTGGGTAATAAAGGTTTTAGTTGTACAGGTAATTATAGATGAACTTAGTTATACTATATAAGATAACTGATAAAACATATCATCACATTAGAAAATATGAGTTATTACTGAAGCAGTAGAGCCCATACATTATCTCAAATAAATCAACCATGAACCATAAAAATTTGTGAATAGCTTCTGGGGTCTTAAGTTGTAGCAATGTGTTCGAAACTATTGAATAAACTGATTCAAGTTCTTTTATTTCGGAAAATAGTAATCCAATATTGAACTATCAAGAAGTGTTTGGAAAGACGAAATATACTCCCTTTACATGTAATAATCAAATTATGTCCGAGATCACAAATTTATGATGAGGTTTAAAGAGTTAACTACAGTTCTAGTGAAGAATATCGTAATCACACTTTGGAAATAAAAGTCGTGTACAAAATTCCTTTTGTCTCCAAGGCAGGAGTATAAAAATAAAGTTATATAAATCCTATTTCCAGTCCAGAGAATCTTCCACAATGGTCTCAAGTTTAACAGCAGAAAATAATGTTAATAAGTAAAACTGTAAAATGAGATTGAAAACTTATTTCTATAGAGTATACGTCCTTTGTATTCAACATCCAAATCAAAAGTGAGAAGCCGACAGCCTGCAGTTGTAATCTGAGAACCTAATCCCTGATTATCAGGCAGACAAAATTAGGCATGACCTTTGACCTTATGGAATAAACTGCCCCATCTCATGGAAGAAACCATTCCGCCTGTATAAACAACACTTATACTCTGCATAAGTTACAAAGAATTGTGGGTTTCTATCCCTTATTTGTTCTAGCCAAGAACTTTGAAATTATTATTTGCTGTTCCTTCACTAAGAACTTGTGAAATTTACTATTTATACCCACTGCTTTCTGAAGTAGGCCAAATATAGAGATGAGGGGGTTCATCCTTCCTTTCAACTTTTGTATCTAAACTATTTTGGTATTATCCTTAGCAAATCATGGACTTTGTTATGCTTTATGTTGTGCCAGGGAGTATAATTTTGTGAACTTTGCTTGCAGTGCTTCAGTTAGCTTTGTAATCACTGATGTCTTTAAACTCACTTTGTCTCCCAATAATTGTTGACAGGTTTTGTCTGATGATCCTTTAAACATGTGTTTCAGAAATATTGATATTTGTTTTTAATTTTTAGTTTTTATTATTTGACAATATTAAACATTAGTAGTATAAATTAAGAATTATATTTTAATTTTTCAGGACATAATAACAATGTAAATGGGATTAGTTGGAGTCACGATGGTAACTGGCTGTTAACATCCTCGGATGATAAATCAGCTTTTTTATGGAGTAAAGGACAATCAGATCCAAATATGTGTATAAAAACAGTTCTTCATAACATGTCTACAGATAAAGATGGACAGAAAAAGGACAAGGTGAGATTGAAAAGACAAAGAGGAGATTTTTAGAGAATCTCAATGCATCTTATTCCCCCAACATGAAAAAACCTTGGATAGTGGGCTATAATCTACTCTCTACTCTATGTCACTTGACGGGTAGTTTTGTGAAAATTTCTTTTCTACTCTGACAGCAAATTGGGGCCAAATATGTCTACAGATAAAGATGGAAAGAAAAAAATTAGATGAGAATAAAAAGCTAGGGAAATAAGATTCATAGAGTATCAGTGCATCTTCCTCCTGAAAAGTTACAGTGGTCAGGGCTGGTTGGCAAGTGATCCACTGTCTACTAAGTGTCATTTGAAAGGTAGTGTGTGTGAACATTTCTGTACTTCTCTAATGGAAAATTGGGGCCAAATATGTCTACAGATATAGATGGACCCAAAAAGGGACACGATGAAAGTGAAAAGATAAGAAGATAAGTTTCAAGTATCTTAGTGCATTTTATACTGCCAAAATACATAGACCTGTGTTGATGGGCTTGTAAACTAGTGTCTCCTATGTGTCATTTGAAAGGTAGTTTTGGAGAAAATTTCTCTTCTACAAAAATTACTCTTACAGTAAATGGGCGCCAAACATGTCTACAGATAAAAGTGGATAAAATAATGACAAGGTAAGAGAATAAAGCTAAGGGAGAAAACTTTCATAAAGTTTCAGTGCAATTTATGTCCCCAAATGATACAGGGACCTTGAATAGTGAGAAAATGGTCATCTGTTTGTCACTAGATCTCAGAAAAAAGGTTTTTTTTTGGTAAAAATTTCTTATATATAACAACAAATGGCCTCCACGTAAGGTAATATAAGTTTGTTTTTTATTAAGTGCGTAAGTACAGGGGTTAAAAAATCCACTAGCCCGACACTTGGGACTTGAGCATTTATGCCTCGGGCAATCAAAACTTTTAACCCAATATGCCCAACGGACTAGTAACAAAAAATTCTTGGCGTTTCCAAGATAAAAAGTGGAAAATCCCTTCATCACTATTCTATCTTAGCCAATCAGATTCAATTACGTCATCCGGGATTCCAAAAATTTGAACTGGTTTGTACAGGTCCTGTTGTACATATTTTAAAAATAAAACAAATAACTCTGGGTGGCCCGGTATCATGTAACAGAGAATATTGCCTTTATTTTCCCGAGCACACCAATAAAAAGTCTGCTTTGTATGTGGGAACAACTAAGTTAGGATAAGCACCACTGTTTGTTTACAAACAGAATAAAAAGCAGGTCAACAAAAATTATTAAATACAGTTTATACAAACTTGTCTTTGTAGTTGTGTTTGATGTAAATTTTGTGCTGTGTTAATTGTTGTCCCCTTAAGTAAACATACGTTTGAAGTTTTTAAAGAAGGTGTCTTATTATCTGTAATTGTCTCTTTGTATGTAATATGCCTATAATTTTTATGTGTCCATGAACAAAACATTTCAAGTCACCAATGGCAGGCTTACCAATCTTGAGACATATTTTATTTAACTACCCCCTATACATAATTTCAGTATGTAAGCCTTCAATTGATAAAATGAAATGTTTAATGTTCACATCAACCAGTATTTTTAGCAAATACATGTATTTCCAGTTTGAATTTCTGTTTGTATTGGTAATGAAACACATCCTTATATATCCAATGTTTTTTTAGTTCTGATGTAACTCTCTTGATAGCCAAACTCCAATTCAATATCACAATCCACAAAGTCCCCAATGGTGAGTTAAGTCAAAGTAGAATGTAACAAGCCAAAATTTTATAAACTCACCATCAGTGAAATTGAGCATTGTAGATCTAAACCAACTCACAAATAAAGTGTTAAAGGGGGTATCTGTGTGTAAACCAAAAACATAGTCTCGATAAAACATACTGGCTCAAAGCAGACAGAATCTTAGATGAATAATATTTATTAATATAATAAATTCAGTAACAAAATATTTTGGCCCTTGAGAAACACTCAGTATAATTAAGAATTTAGGAGTTCCTGCCGAGCAAGTCAAATTGCAACCTGTAGTGTGAGGAAGAACCTGCCTGCCCGACAATACGCCAGCCGGGAATGTGAAGCGAGGGGTCTCCACCAAGGGGATGAGACTAGGCGTCTCATCTGCAGCCGGGGTGTGCAAGGTCTGCATGGGGGATAGCCCATGTGGTGCTATTACAAGTAGTAAGTAGCAGGGTCTATCAATCTGGCGCTGGAATAAATTTGATAAAATTTGTCCCCGAAATGCTTGGGGATGAATGAAATTTTAGAAATGACCAGTGATAAAATTCCATCAAGGAAAAACAAATTATAAAATAAAACATATCACTGGTAAAAACTGAGATGTTTCTCATGTCATGAACATTATTGAAGGTGTTTGGAAGGGGTAGGCGGGTGGTAAATTGAATTCTAGCACTGTTATACTGTCAACTTAGTTTGACTGCTTTGAACCAAGAAACTGATTACACAAAGACCATGCATATGGCTTAAAACACAGATTTTGGGTACATCAATCATCTAGTGGGAGGAGACTGATATCACTGACCTTCAGTTATTATATACTAATTAATGTGTAATTATTTTTATGGGAACTGAAATTATCCTGCCTTTCACCACAAACAGTGAATAATTGTAACATGTATCTGATTAAGAACAGATTAGTTTGTCCCCTGGTGAGATTGCAGTGTAACTTCAAAGTGTCAAATGCCAGGGAAATTAATCTCAAGATGTAGCAAGTGGTCTCTGTATGTTAATTAAATGTATCCAAGATGTTAGCATGTTTATAAGAAAGATTAATTATCAAGTTGGCTGGGAATATTGTTTGTATAAACAATACTTATATTACATATAAGTATCCTATGTATAATGCCGCCTTCAAAACAAGGGACACCCACTTTGTAATTATGCAGCAAACTCTGATTTGTAAGGCATTCTCAGGCTAGCAGGTCAGTTTTGATGGGCTAGCAGTTCTTCCAACAGGGCTAGTTAAATCCTGCTGCAAATAAGTCCTGGGCTAGTTACCTGTAACAAAAATTTTTAACCCCTGAAGTATTTACCCACTTTGAAATAAACACATTTTACTACAGTTGATTATCAAACATACATTTTCATTCTCAGCTTTCATTTTTGTGGAAACAGATGACATCCCTATATAAGCACAAGATGTAATTTTCACAACCTTAAAGTATTGTACATATCTTGAACAGTACATATTTTTTTAACTTTGATGTATCCACATAATTGAAATTTCGTTTAAATAAAAAAACACAAGGCAAGTTTAGTTGGGCAAATAATTAGTCTCTGTTCAAAATCTGACTGATAAACTGATGGATTTTTGTCATTTTGATGGTGTAAAAATAGGGGTTAAACACTATCAGAGTTAACTTCTTTATGATTTTTTAGTTTTGTTATTCCAGAGTTACCTAACTTTGCTCAGAAAAAAGGTATACTTGTTCACATGTACAGTAACTCATGTTTGCCTGGACAGAATATAGAATTTTGTACAAAAACTACATGAATGTAGGATTGAAGATAGTAATAAAGGATCTTTTTGATTTTTGATTGTTTATCAGGTGATTGAGTAACTAACTAAACCTTTTTCACAACTGTTCAATGAAAAAAATCGAAATTTCAATCTAGGAATATTTAAAAAAAATTAGTGAATGGGAACACCATATGGTTATTTTTTTTTAGAAAATTGAAATTTTCTTGAAAATGGATGTTTTGGAAAATGTAAACATAGCATAAGTTTTAATTTTTTATGCTGAATGGTAATTTTTTTATTATAACTATGATATCTAATGGATTTACAATTGATTACATGAACTATTTATATATATTTTTTTAACTTTATTTTCCCTCTCTGTTGCAGGACAATGTCGCCTTCCCAAAAGAAGTAAATTTTGCCAGATTTTACTACATGGACAAGTTTATATTACTGACATCAGGGAATACTTTATACATGTACAAATATCACTTAGAACAGACTAAAGATGATATTAAAAGGTGAAAATGTACATTTATTTAATGTACAGATAGAAAAAAAGTGGACAGTCAAAACAATAAACTAAAAAAAAGACATCATGACCAAAAGAAAAAAAACCAAACAATAGTCCACAAAACACTACAAAGACAGAACAATATTGTGTTATCCATTAGAACACTAAAGATTTAGTTAAATGAACCCCAGCAAAAAGTTGGGCAAACTCAGGTTCTTTGAAAGGGTGAAAAGTTCATACTCTAATTTAAGATGAAAGGAGGTTTGTTACTATAAAGGTTTTAATTTCCATCTTGAAGGTCAAGAAAGCCAACTTTTTCAGCTTGTGTGAGAAATTGTGTTTATAACTCAAAAGAATCACAAATAAAAGTTTTTGTAAGGGACAGCTTGCCTTATTTGATTGTCTTCATCTTTGTTAATGCTGACGTCTGTAGTTTCCACGAAAACAGCATATTCACATGCTGAGAACAAAAGTTCTGTTTGAAAAATTATTGGAGACAGCTTTAAGCTGTTAAACTAGACAAGTATTTAGGACATGTGGAATGTTAAAGTTACATATGATTTTATTTAACTTCTGTTTGTTGTTGGTATAGAAATATTTCCCATAAGGAATTTTCTGGAATAAATGGAGCCCATACACAGTATTTTATTTTCCATTTCCCATATTCAAAGTTGTAACTAATTCAGAATTTTTGAACATCTGAAAGATATAGTTGCTACTTGTTATTGATGAGGTTGGATTACTTTTTGGGGAAGTTCACAAATAACATTTTACGTAAATAAATTGCCATAAATTCGTTCATCCACACTGCTCATCTGTTGCCTATGAAATCTAACTTGAAAAATTGTACAAATGAGCTGTTTATCATGATTGAAATAATCAAAAATAGCTTTCACATCTTTTGTTTAATGGTTACAGTATTTTTACCAATTTAGTAAATTATTTTTCTTAAAGTTATCTCCCTTCTATAGATAAAAAACTAAATATAAAAAAAAACATTGAATTGTTGTTAATGTAATATTAATGAGATGGATAAACATTCCAAGGGTCACATATGTTTATTTATTTATAATAGTCTTGGTTTTCCAATATTTATATTACAGGTACTTGAGTACTAGCAAATACAAGCAAGTTACGTCATTCTCCATTGAATCTCAACAGATTACTGCGGCATCAGCTGTCAATGGCTTCTATTCTTGTATCCTAAACAATAGCAGTTGCACTTTATTAACTCTAAGTTGTTTTTATGTCACAATAATGTGAGTAAAGATGAAATTTAAACTATTTATGAATAATTACTATTGCATAATTAATTACAAATAATTTGGTCCAGTTGTTATGTGTAAATCAATCTGCCGATTACTAATAATTATCCATATTAAAAATGATAAATATATTTGTCAAAAGTTAGAATCAATATTTCCAGGCTAAAAATATCTGAAAAAGATAAATATTTTATCGCTGATGTGAAACCCAAACCATGCTATTGATTTGTAATTATCACTGGTATTTTGCAATGGTGATTAAATAGTACTAAAAAACGTATGAAAGAATGTGTGTACAAAGAAGTGTAAACAAATATGGTACAGATGGATAAATTCCTTACATATTTTATAAGATATTGTAATGTGTGCTGGGACAAATAAGTCTGTTTCTGTGTTTGACATGAATGTCGGGAGGAATGTCAGAATAATGGCTGATGTTCATACCAGACCAGCTCACGTCATATGCCAAAATGAGGTTAGTCTGAATAAATATTGTTTTCATATATATGTCCTGTCTATCCACCTACGATACTAGAGAAGCATTATGTTTTCTGTGCTATGAATTGTCAGTCAATCCTGTATCCATCTGTCTGTCCATCGGTCAGTCTGGCAAATCAGTTATCCACATTTTTTCTCTTTGTTTTTGAAGATATTGATTTGATATTTGGTTTATAGTTTCATTATGACCAGGTACAAATCAAGTGTGAATTTTGTTTCGGTCTGATGACTTTGTGCAGAGTTATGGTCCTTGGACTTATAAAAATCATGGAAGTAGTCAGTTTTCCACACTTTTTTCCGTCATGCTTGAAGATATTGATTTAGTATTTGGTGTATAGTTTTACCATGACAAGTTACAGATCAAGTTCGAATTTGACTAGATCTGATGATTTTTTTGGCAGAGTAATTGTCCTCTGACTTAGAAAATTGACGAAAATAATCAGTTTTCCTCACTTTTTTTCGTCATGCTTGAAGATAATGATTTGATATTTGGTATATAGTTTTTCCATGACAAGTTACAGATCAAGTTCGAATTAGGTTCAGTTGCAGAGTTTTGGTCCTTGAAAATTCATGCAAGTAATCAGTTTTCCTCACTTTTTTATGTTACACTGGAAGATATTGATTTGATATTTGTTATATAGGTCAACCATTACAAGTTACAGATCAAGTTTGATTTTTGTTCGGTTCAGATGATTTTTTTTGCAGAATTATAGTCCTTGGACCTTGGTGCATACAAGTAATCAGTTTTCTGCACTTTTTTTGTCATTTTGTTCCAGTACAATGAATTTTAAACTGGTAGGGGATTATGTATTGCTATGCAATACTCTCAGAATGTCTCATCAGTTTCAAACGGTGCTTATAACCACCTCTGAAGTGTATAGTAGCATGATCCCCTGTCCGGCTAAAGTAAAGACTTTTAAAAATTGGTATTTGCTGCTTCTCCGAATAATGTCTCTGGATAGGGTGACCTTTCTTCCATTTGGGGGCTACCTTTGGACTATCAAAATCTAACTCTGTTGGTTATGTTGATCAGTTTACATTCAAAGTGTGGCATTCTCCGTGCACTGGCATGGATGTGATTAGCATATTTCTCTAATTTTTACCCAATTTAAACTTCCTGACAGGTTGATTTTCTTTTTAGCTCACCTGGCCCGAAGGGCCAAATGAGCTTTTCTCATCACTTGGCGTCCGTCGTCGTCGTCTTCGTCCGTCGTCGTTAGCTTTTTACAAAAATCTTCTCCTCTGAAACCACTGGGCCAAATTTAACCAAACTTGGCCACAATCATCATTAGGGTATCTAGTTTAAAAATTGTGTCCGATGACCCAGCCAACTAACCAAGATGGCCGCCATGGCTAAAAATAGAACATAGGGGTAAAATGTAGACTTTGGCTTATATCTCTGAAACCAAAGCATTTAGAGTAAATCTGACATGGGTAAAACTGATTATCAGGTCAAGATCTATCTGCCCTGAAATTTTCAGACAAATCTGACAACCTGTTGTTGGGTTGCTGCCCCTGAATTGGTAATTTTAAGGAAATTTTGCCATTTTTGGTTATTATCTTGAATATTATTATAGATAGAGATAAACTGTAAACAGCAATAATGTTCAGCAAAGTAAGATCTACAAATAAGTTGCCATGACCAAAATTGTCAGTCGACCCCTTTAGGAGTTATTGCCCTTAATAGTAAATTTTAACAATTTTTTGTAAATTTTTGTAATCTTTTACAAAAATCTTCTTTTCTGAAACTACTGAGACAAATTTAACCATACTTGGCCATAATCATTATTAGGGTATCTAGTTTAAAAGATTTGTCCGATGACCCCGCCTTCTAACCATCATGGCCGACTTGGTTAAAAATAGAACATAGGGGTAAAATGCAGATTTTGGTTTATATCTCTGAAACTAAAGCATTTAGAGTAAATCTGACAGGTGGCAAAAATGTTCATCAGATTTAGATTTATCTGCCCTGAAATTTTCAGACGAATCCGACAACCCGTTGTTGGGTTGCTGCCCCTGAGTTAGTAATTTTACAAAAATTTTGCAGTTTTTTGTTATTATCTTAGATATCATTATAATATCTAATATCTAATACTATTAATTATGATTTTAACCTTATTTTACATGACTTCCAAAGCATCAGTAAATACAGGTGAGCGACACAGGCTCTTGAGAGCCTCTAGTTATTGTCGAGCCTTTGACTTTTGTCGAAAAAGCGAGACATAGCGATCCTACATTCTGTCGTCGGCGTCATTGTTGTTGTCATCGTCGGCGGCGTCCACAAATATTAACTCTGGTTAAATTTTTTGAAATTTTAATAACTTTCTTAAACTATCCTGGATTTCTACCAAACTTGGACAGAAGCTTGTTTATGATCATAAGATAATATTCAAAAGTAAATTTTGAAAAAAAAAAAATCCATTTTTTCCGTATTTTACTTATAAATGGACTTAGTTTTTCTGCCAGGAAACATTACATTCACTCTGTGGTTAAAGTTTTTGAAATTTTAATAACTTTCTTAAACTGTCCTGGATTTCTATCAAACTTGGAAAGAAGCTTGTTTATGATCATAAGATAGTATCCAGAAGTAAATTTTGTAAAAATAAAATTCCATTTTTTCCGTATTTTACTTATAAATGGACTTAGTTTTTCGGCCAGTTAACATTACATTCACTCTGTGGTTAAAGTTTTTAGAATTTTAACAACTTTCTTAAACTATCCTGGATTTGTACCAAACTTGGACAGAAGCTTGTTTAAGATTAAAAGCTAGTATCTAGAAGGAAATTTTGTTAAAATTTTTTTCCATTTTTTCCGTATTTTACTTATAAATGGACTTATTTTTTCTTCCAGTTAACATTACATACAGTCTGCAGTTTAAGTTTTTAAAACATTTATTAGATTCATAAACTATCCTGGATTTTTACCAAACTTGGACAGAAGCTACTTACAATCAAAAGATAGTATAGAGAGGAATATTTTTATTAATTTTTTTCCTCATTTTTGTTGAGCCTGCGATTAACAGCAAAAGTAGGCGAGACACTAGGTTCCGCGGAACCCTTACGAATTTTTATCAATGTGCGGTTGGTTTGATCTCAGTTCTTCATTGGTCAAATTTTAAAAATCCTTTTGTCACCAAAAAAAGGAGACCATGCCTCATGAAGTCACATATAAGAACACATCTTTTTGCAGAACATTGAAAAAGAAAGATAAAGTTTGTCTTCATATTCTCAAAGACTCTTACAGGTCATTAGAGATACAGATCTAACCACCGAATCTTGTGCAATACAAAATTCTCCATTCTCTGCAGTTTTAAAAAGCTTGTGAAGTCTCGCATTTAAAATTAGAAAATTTAACTGTCTCATATGGAGAAATATCATATCACACTTGATGCAGTGGTAGAATCTATATATATCAAACTGTCAAATTATTTATTGATATTTTATTGATTGACTTTTGTTACTGTAGATAAAATTAAAATTTGTTCGGTTGTATAATTTTTGTTGCATAATTAACAAAGTATTATGTAATTTTAATGGGAAACAAATTAGTATCAAGATAAATGCCAAGCAAGAATAACTTTTTACACTGCTCTTATGATAATACTTTTATTTCTGGATCCAAGGTTTTGTAGCTCATGGGAAATACCACTATGTGGTTTTTGAAAGCATAACTTTTGATTCTGTTTATAAAAAATTAATGGGAAAAATGCATATCATTTGAATCTGATATTACATTGGATAGATTATTATTCATGGATTTGGTGGCTCTAGACCTTAGGTTAACCACACATTAAGCATTCACCAAAATAGAAATTTCCTTTAAGCTTCTTTGTGTAGAATTTTTTAAAACCAGGATAGTCCTGAATATGCATGAAATATTTGCCATAAGAAATTAAGCAAAAACAATCAATCATTTAAAAAATCAATGAAAGTAGATAAATCTACAGTAAATTTAAAGTTGTGACAAACCATGATTTTTGTAAAAATAAGAAGATGTGATATAATTGCCAATGAGACAACTCCACCAGACACTAAATGACATAGAAGTCAACATCTATATTGGTTCCTGTTAAACAAAATGTATATTTCTTTACAACATATATCATACTGTTACATGTATCTTTTTACTTGCAGATGGTCTGTCAATTGTATTCTAATTTGATCAAGAATGAATTTTTTAAATTTCATGTGTTGGAACCCAAATTCTTAGGTGAATGTCTGTTAACTAAATCAACTGAACCAAGCTGTTTCACCTGAGCAGTATTTATAACAATATCTAACAATTATAAAATCTGTTCCTAAAATTTGAATTGAATTGTTTAGTTGCATGAACATTGCTTAACACATGTACGGTTTTGGTTTGCTATAATAGTTTCCTATTTCAGGGATCAACATTTGTGTCACATCCTTCCAGTGCTTATGATTTGTTTGTGACAGCTGCAGCTGGGGACTGTATCAAACTATGGGATCTCAGAGCAGACAGGTAACCAGTTGAAAAGAGCTTATCCTGAATCCTGTGCTTAAAAAAATTGCAAACATTATCTACACCTTTTTGACAATTTGAAAACATGTTTTAGGACTTGATGAAATATGAGAAATGTCATTTCTAATATCTAAAAAAAATACCCTTCTCCTGATATAACATAAAAGGTTATAGGTCAATAACTTTGGGAATAAGAATACATGCAAATAACAGGATTATGCAATATGTGGAGTCAATTGTATTACTTTTCAATAGACTGAGTTGTGTAAATAATTTAAATAGTCTTGTGATTTTTACTGGTAAAAAGATCAAAGGTGACTGATTGTGACTTATGAACTCTTTTTTTTAGTTTAACATTTTGAAAAATTCCATTTAAAACATCTGTTTCACTGATTTGGTTGTAAATAATTGTAAATAAACAATCACAAGATTAGTTCAAAACAAGAAAGAAAGGAAAAAACATTACATCTGAATTACCTCTGATTTAGTCAAGTGCAGTTAACAATTAATTGGCTTGTGGTGTCAAAATATTTTCAAGTTGTTAGTTTATATCATTTATGTTTTGTTTGTGACTTAATTTTAAGTTTTATGGACTGTTAATCTGTTTGGTTTTTTTTGGTTTTTTTAGGTGGTGGTGTTCGTTTTTCTTTTATTAAAGGTTTTTGTATCATACTGTTTGCATCATTTTTTAATATTTTTTTTTACAGGTGTGTCAGAAGATATGAAGGCCACCAGAACAGAGCCTATACGTGTGGCTTAGATCTCAGTCCTTGTGGTAGATACCTTGCTACAGGATCTGAGGATAAAACAGTAAGTACACCTATACCTTAATGGATTTTGGCATAACTACCTGCCCAACATGAGCAACCATCTCAAATTTAACCTTGAATTTTCTGAAAATTTTGAATATGTAAAAGCTTTACTCATTTTCCAAGGTATAGCATGTTTATTTCTTATTATGGAAGAAAAGAAATGGCATGTCCACCACCAAGGTTGGGTACAAAGGACCATTTAAAAGTTGTATGAGCTCCCACCATGTATGGATGGAAATGACAAAAAAAACGCCTCAGCTGTAGGTGAATGCAAGTGAGAAAAAACTCTAGGTTATGGGGAGGTTAGGGGGAGGGTTGAGTGCTCACAAACATGTTTAACCCTGCCACATTCTTTATGTGCCTGTCCCAAGTCAGGTGCCTGTAGTTAAGTGGTTGTCGTTGGTTTATGTCTGTCATTTCTGTTTTTCGTAAATTATTTTTTTATGAATTAGGCCATTGATTTCTCAATTGAATTGTTTCATATTTTTCATGTCAGGGCCTTTTATAGCATACTATAGGGTATGGGTTTTCCTCATTGTTGAAGGCTGTATGATTGCCTATAATTGCTTACATCCACTTCATTTAAATTTGGTGGATAGTTGTCTCATTGGCAATAATACCACGTCCTTTTTTTATACGACCGCAAAAATTAAAAATTTTTTGGTCGTATATTGGTATGACGTTGGCGTCGTCGTCGTCCGGCGTCGTCTGGCGTCGTCCGAAGACACATTGGTTTTCGCACTCTAACTTTAGTTTAAGTTAATGGATCTCCATAAAATTGTACCATAAGGTTCAATACCACGAAAGGAAGGTTGGGATTGATTTTGGGGGTTATGGTACCAACAGTTAAGGAATTAGGGGCCAAAAAGGGGCCAAAAATAAGCATTTTTGTAACTTCCAGACAATAAGTTGTGTGTAAGTGTATGGATCTCTCTGACATTGAACCACAAGGTTCCATATCACATAGGGAAGGCTGTAATTGATTTTGGGGGTATTTGCCTCAAAATTTTAGGAATTAGGGGCCAAAAAAGGGGCAAAAAACAAGCATTTTTCTAGTTTCATGACAATTACTTGTGTGTAAGTGTTTGGATATTTCTTAAATTGTACTACAAGGTTCCATATCACAAAGGGAAAGCTGGAATTGAGTTTGGGGGTAATTGCCCGAAACGTTTAGGAATTGGGGGCCAAAAAGGGGCCAAGAAATAAGCATTTTTCTAGTTTCCAGACAATAACTTGTGTTCAATTGTATGGATCTCTCTGAAATTGTACTGCAAGATACCATACCACAAAGGGAAGGCTGGGATTGAGTTTGGGGGTGATGAATCATAAGGGGGTTCAAAAAATTTGGGGGGGGGGGTTTTCTTTTTTTTTCTTTTTTTCCTTTTTTTTTTCTTTTTTTCCTTTTTTTTTTCTTTTAAAATTTTCCATTTTAAGTTGGTTATTTCTGATTTATATTTAAAAATAAAAAATAATAATGATATGGTAGGAAATACACACCAAACAGGATGTGTAAATTATTATACAATAAGTATTGTGCAATAGCAAGAAATTTTCAATTGCACAGTATTGCACAATAGCAAGAAATCTTCAATTGCACAGTATTGCGCAATAGCAAGAAATCTTCAATTGCACAGTATTGCGCAATAGCAAGAAATATCCAATAGCACAATATTGCGCAATAGCAAGAAATTGTCAATTGTACATGTACAGTATTGCGCAATAGCAAGAAATATTCAATTGCACAGTATTGTGCAAAAGAATATACTTTGTATAAATTGCTTATTTCTTGATCAATTTCAATGGGGTTTTATTCTTGAATTCTTGGGGTTCTTTAATATGCTGAATCTAACCATGTATTAAGTTTTTGGATTTTGGGCCCTGTTTTTAAATTGGTCCACATTGAGGTCCAAAGGGTCCAAAATTTAACTTTGTTTGATTTCATCAAAAATTGAATTATTGGGGTTCTGTGATATGCCGAATCTAACCGTGTATTTAGATTCTTAATTTTTGGTTCCGTTTTCAAATTGGTCTACATAAAGGTCCAAAGGGTCCAAAATTAAACTTAGTTTGATTTCAACAAAAATTGAATATATGGGGTTCTTTGATATGCTGAATCTAACCATGTATTTAAATTTTTGATTATGGGCCCAGTTTTCAAGTTGGTCCAAATCGGGGTCCAAAATTAAACTTTATTTGATTTCAACAAAAATTGAATATATGGGGTTCTTTGATATGCTGAATCTAACCATGTATTTAGATTTTTGATTATGGGCCCAGTTTTCAAGTTGGTCCAAATCGGGGTCCACAATTTAACTTTGTTTGATTTCAACAAAAATTGAATATATGGGGTTCTTTCATATGCTGAATATAACGGTGTATTAAGTTTTTGGATTTTGGGCCCCGTTTTTAAATTGGTCCACATTGAGGTCCAAAGGGTCCAAAATTGAACTTTGTTTGATTTCATCAAAAATTGAATTATTGGGGTTCTTTGATATGCCGAATCTAACCGTGTATTTAGATTCTTAATTTTTGGTTCCGTTTTCAAATTGGTCTACATAAAGGTCCAAAGGGTCCAAAATTAAACTTAGTTTGATTTTAACAAAAATTGAATATTTCGGGTTCTTTGATATGCTGAATCTAAACATGTGTTTAGATTTTTGATTATGGGCCCAGTTTTCAAGTTGGTCCAAATCGGGGTCCAAAATTAAACTTTGTTTGATTTCAACAAAAATTGAATATATGGGGTTCTTTGATATGCTGAATCTAACCATTTATTTAGATTTTTGATTTTTGGGCCCCGTTATCAACTTTGTCCACATTGAGATCAAAAGGGTCCAAAATTAAACTTTGTTTGATTTCATCAAAAATTGAATTCTTGGGGTTCTTTGATATGCTGAATCTAACCATGTATTTAGATTTTGGATATTGGACCATAATAGGTGAATGTCCAATTTAAAATTTTTAAGTTCTTAGACCACATTCATTCTGTGTCAGAAACCTATGCTGTGTCAAATATTTAATCACAATCCAAATTCAGAGCTGTATCAAGCTTGAATGTTGTGTCCATACTTGCCCCAACTGTTCAGGGTTCGACCTCTGCGGTCGTATCAAGCTGCGCCCTGCGGAGCATTTTATTTTATCCTAAAACAAAACAAAGGATGAACTAAGGGGCCCTGGAAAGGTAGAATAGTTACTATATCAGACTCACTGATGGACTTGAAATATGAAATAAATGGAGAAATAAATGGAGAATGTGTCCACAGGACACACATAATGCTCCTGCTTGCATAGATCGTTATAAAGGGGCATAATTCGAGAACGATAAAAGTGACGCCACCCAATTTTGAACTTAATCTGTATTTTGTGGTAATAAGCATCAAAATCCAAAAGTGATTATATCTTTCTGAAACAAAAAATGCATTTAACTTTTATATATCTAGTGGATGCCAGGCCTTATAACTTTACAAACTGGACAGGTAAGTCTGTACACAGAGTAGTTTTTGAGGTGTAAATACGGCCATTTTTGTCCATTTGTTATGATGAACCTTAATGGGTCTCGTCTCTATTGATTTTTATTAAATAACTACGCCTCCTGTGTAAAGGTACCACTCAACAATAAACTTAGTTTCGTATCTCTGATATACGAAGCCAGTAGTTATTTGCGTTTTTCAAAGTACATTGTAATTTAATATTTTTTAATATAAAATCTGATTAATAGCCATTTACAATGACAAAAAATATAAGATTTTAAAAGAATGCTAAATTATTAAACTCAGATATATCGTTTTGAAGAACACTCCAGTTGTGCAAAAGGGGTTACATATTGAACAAGATGGCGTCCACTCAAAATTTACTAACAAAATACCTCAAAGTTCAAAGGTCTATATTTTAAAAACTATCCGAGAAATCTTTTCAAAAACAGCATTTTGCAATGAAAAAATGTAAAATATTTCATAAAAATGTTACTTCATTAAAATTGAACATAGTTATGAGGAACACTTCGTAAATGTGAAAAGATTTGTTATGAAGTCACGTGACATCAGCAACGGCACAGTTTTGTCTGCAAATTTGTATATACATTGTTACAAGTGACCAGTCCCTTTAGTATAGACTGTCCCTGCTGCATTGAAGACCTTTTCAGCATCATCAGGTTTTGTTGTAATTATAAACACCTTATAACATTTGAGAGAAGAAATTTCATTGGTTGACCTATCAGAAAGTAGAATGGAATGATGTCAGATCCTTCTAAGGGTGGCATGGTCACAGGATCATTATTTCAATCAGATTGTGAGAATTGTTATTTTTATTTTCAGGCATACATCTTTGATCTAAGATCTGGAACTTACTGCAGCAAACTAGGTGGTCACAATGATACAGTGTCAGATGTAGCATTTCATCCATTATATCCTCAGGTTGGTTTACTATTCACATTAATCACTTCCGTAGTCCATGGGTGGCATGCTTGCCTCAAGTATGGGAGGTCAAAGTTCAGTTTTTGGCCTTTTTCAGATGAGAGAGTTGTTGCCCTTTTCCTAAATAATTTAGCTGATAAATGACTTTTCCCTTCCAAACTAATTTCATTCTTAATAATTAGTGATATGAATAAAAGCCTCTGAAGGAGATATTGATGTAAATATCAATGAGACAGTAACCCAATATTAAACTGCCATTGCTTGTTGACATTGTTTTGCCAAACTATGTAGCAAGCAGGCCTTTTTTTTACATTTTAAATAAACTTTAAACAGAGCAGGAGTCGGTATGGCAAAGAATAGAAAATTATTTCTTGTCATGGCCAATTTTTTTCTTATGTGTAATGTTCTATGTGTCTTTTACAGCTTGTAACAGCTACACTTGATGGAAAATTGAGACTTTACAAAGATAAATAACTCACCTAGATGTGTGTCCAGCAATACATTACATCAATGAAAAAGAACATCTAGCCAACCAGAGATGAAGAAGAACAGTCATAATAGATGATACTTTATTTCGATGACTGCTTGTGAAGATTGTTTAATTGATGGAATCATGGTGCTTGTTGTCATAGAAACAAATGGTGCACTTGCACAAGTTTTTATCTTTATGAATTTGACACACTTCATATGAACTTGGAAAATGAACATTATTGACAAAAGTTGTTAAAGAATACTTCATCCACATAGATTTCAGTCGAAACGAATGTGTTCAGTCCTTCAGTTGGGTCAAATACAGATGAGAAGTGTCTGTTTTGGCAGCAAGATTCCAGTCATAAAAGGCTGAGTTCAACTGAAACCCGAGAATGAACAAAGTTTGAAGGCTTACATCATTTTTTCAGTCCTATGTAGCCAGAACTGTTTTTGAGTACTTTTTAATGACATCAATTCAATGAAAATAAGACTTTTACATGTTTATATGGCATTAACCACAGGTTAGGGACAACTCTTTTTTAATTGAGATTGTGATTCTACACATACTCTAGTAATGTGTTGGTACTCCAATTTCAGTTGCACTAAGTCAATCTGTTAGGAGAGAGGGTGGGAGCTATTTACATTCCAAGACATTTGCTTTTAAATCCGTCCCTAATAAACTATTGTGATCTCAGAGTAATAAAAGTTCTCATTATACAGTTGTTATTCATTGATTTTTTTTATAATGTGTTTTCACTGTTTTTTAAAGCACTACCTGTTGAAGAGTGAAATGTACAAATAAAAAATAAAGATTTGTAACTTGTTTAGTATTTATACATCTGTCCCTTTGTCAACACATCATTGCTTTAACTAATTCTCATGAAATTTTAACATAATAAAAGAATTGAAGGGAAAAACTCTTATGTGATTTTGACAATTTTGTCATTCAAGAGTTATGGGACTTTGTTCATGGAAAATTGATTGATTAATTGAATGATTGGTGTTTAACACCACTTTCAGCACTATTGTTCGATTTTGTTGCAGTCAGGTTTTATTTGTGGAGGGAGCCAGAGTGCCCACAGAGAACCACCCTCCTTCAGTAGCAAAACTTGTAACAGCCACTATGTTCCGTCAGTTACTTTGTTCCGGCGGAACTTTTCAACTAGTTATTTCGTTCCGATGGAACTTTCCAACTAGTTGTTTTATTCCGAGTGCAGTCGAAAAGTTCCGGAAAAAAGTAGCTAGTTGAAAAGTCTAGGAACAATGTAGCTAGTTGAATAGTTCTGGCGGAACAAAACAACTAGTTACATTGTTCTGAATATACCATATTTCGTCCTTTTTGTAGAAAGAGGGGGAAGAATGAGTATCAGTATATATAAGAGCAAATCATTAATTTACAAGAATACCCAACACACTGAAAGGGGTTTCTTTGGGGACAAATATGCAAAATTTAAGTTGTATTTCATAGCTCACATAAAACGGAATAAGTTGCATTATCATGCAAATTTAGTATTCATAGTACCCTTAAGAGAGGGAAGAATACCCCCCCCCTCCTCATGTGGTTCTTTGCATCAATTCTCAAAATGGAACTTTGTGACTGGTTGATAAGTTCCGTTGAAGCTTTTGGGCTAGTTTGTTAGTTCCGGTTTTGACTTATTTGCCAAAGAGGAACTTTGTGGCTAGTTGATAAGTTCCTTTTGACTTTTGTAATCAGTATCTTGGTTTCCCTTTGAAAGGTTCAAATATAATATGTTGCGCTTTTACTTTGCATCAATTCTCCAAATGGAACTTTCTGAATGGTTGATAAGTTCCGTTGGAACTTTTGGGCTAGTCTGTTAGTTCCGGTTTTGACTAATTTGGCAAAAAGGAACTTTCTAACTAGTTGATATGTTCCATTGGAACTTTTCAACTAGTCACTTTGTTCCGGTGGAACTTTTAAACCAGAGGAAGAACAAAGTAACTAGTTAATAAGTTCCTCTGGAACTTTTCGGCTAGTTAGTTCTTTCCCCCGGAACTTTCCAACGTCGGAACAAAAGAGCATTTACAAACTGACAATCCTAGTCAATTAAGATTGGAGTCCAGCGCACCTGCCACATGTGGGATTCAAACTCACAACCTCACTGTTGACAGGCTTAGTGATACAGTTGTTCTACTCCTTAGACCACTTAGCCACAGAGGCAACTGGAAAATTGAATATTTTTCAATAACTTTGTACACTGTTGTTAAGATTGGTAATCGGAAGCTTTCTTTTCGTTTTCAAAATGTTCTGGTTTTTCTTTCCAGAGTTACATGACTTTAGCTATATTGTTGGAATTGGTTTAAGGCAACTTTTGATTTTGAAATTTCTTCAATTTGTCATCCCAGAGTTATGGGACTTTAACCATTAAATTTAAGTGGATTTTTCACATGTCATCCACTTGCTCTGGACTGCTTGGATCAAAATACTACAAACTTTACTGTTATTGGGATTGGTGAGTGTAGGGTTGCTTATAATTTTGAAAAATAATTCTGTTTGGGTTTAGTTCCAGAGTAATGGGCCTTTTAAAAAGTCATTCATACACCAAAGGTTATCCTCATGCAAGTTTTCTACAGTCATTTTACAGCTCATCTTCTTTTCACGGAGAACATTTTGTTAAGATTAAATGTATGCGTGTTTATGTATATTTTTATTCAATAATTTGGTTTGATTGCCAATGAGACAACTATCCAACAGTACTTTTCAAAGTTTGATGAATTATGGATGTAATAGGCATATTTGTTATGCGTAGAGGCTTTTTGTCACCTTCATGTGACCTCAACCTTATTAAAATGGCTTCTTCCTACTACATGGGGAACTTATGAATACAATTTGTAGATGGAGTGGAAGCCTAGAGCCTGTGCATATTTTACATTAAGATTGAATGTGTGCTATTACATCTTTTCAAATTTGTACTGACATGTGGATGACATGTGGATGACATCTAAACTATATCCCTTCAAAACCATTGATGGTAGGGGACAAAAAAAACTTAATACTTCACAGACCTAAAGATTGAAGAGAAAAATGACCTTTATCTTGTAGTGCTTCTTATCGTGATGGTTACATCTGAGATATTGAAAGCACTATTAACATGATTGGAAAGATATTTGTGAAGCACAGCTACCTCAAACACCATCTACTATGATATAAAAAAATTAAAAAATCGTCTACAGAATATATTTTCTTTTTGAACTGTGATGAAGCCAAGACAAGAGTGCACATTCTGAAATGTCTCTCCTGCTTTACTAAACATTGATTTTATGTTGATAGTCCTAAATATAAAGCTTTACTTCAAGTATCACATAAACTTAACATGATCCAAGAAAATGAGGTCATGGTCAGATAAACCAAACCGGAAATACATGTACACCTTACAATCATTCCATACACCAAATATAGTTGACCTATTGTTTATAGTTTCTAAGAAACAAACTTAACCAGGAAACTTAACTGACCAATGAACCATGAAAATGAGGTCAAGGTCAGATTATACCTGCCAGACAGACATATACACCTTACAATCATTCCATACACCAAACATAGTTGACAGATTGCTTATAGTTTAAGAAAAACAGACCAAATCACAAAAAACTTAACATTGAGCAATGAACTGTAAAAAATGAAGTCAAGGTCAAATAAAACCTGCCAGACTTACATGTACATCGTAAAATATTTCCATACACCAAATATAGTTGACCTATTGCATGTAGTATTAGAAAAATATACCAAAACACAAAAACTTAACTTAATCATTTAACCATGAAAATGAGGTCAAGGTCAGATTACACCTGCCAGCTGGACATGTACACCTTACAATCATTCCATACACAAAATATAGCAGACCTATTGCTTATAGTATCTGATATATGGACTTGACCATGAAAACTTAACCTTATTCACTGATCTATGAAATGAGGTCGAGGTCAGATGACTACTGTCTGTCAGGCATGAGGTACAAGGTACGCACATACTAAATAAAGTTATCCTATTACTCATAAGAGAGAAATTAACATTACAAAAAATTTTTTTTTTCAAGTAGTCACTTAACCATGAAAATGGACAATGATCATATGAAAGACGGAAATGTCATTTTTATTTCTGTTCATCATATTCTACATATAGAACATTAATTTTGCATAACTGTTTTGCTATAACAAATACACATGAAATTCTACATTTACAGGAAATCAACAATAAAAATACTGGCATTATCCTAGAAAATAATAAATATTTAACAATTATCATTAAAAAAATAGCTACCATACTACAATCAAACATAATAATAAATGAATTCACAATATAAATAATTGATTTATTAGATATGCATTACAATGTAACAATGCAAACTCCATCTGTTTACAATCAAAATTGGTGATATTAAATTTAGACCCTATTGCTTAACATTATCACCAATGCAGAAAATGTAGATCAAGTTTATCCTATTTTTGTTTTGCTTTTAACCAATAATGTGAAGCAAAGCAGTATTGTTGTCGTCAACAATTAATGTTGTTTTCTGATAAGGTACATGCACTTCAGTTTCAGTGTGAAATTTCAAGAGACCAATCCCACTGACTGAGTCGTGCTGTACTATAGTGACAAAGTTTTTACATTATCATCAGGGGTTCAAATTAGTGTGGGTCCAAGGTCCGGGACCCATCTTTTCTAGAAGAGGACTTTTCATTTTTAAATCACAAAAAGTCAAGGACCTACCATTCTTTAAACTGATGCTTGATACACGACCATTGATTTCTTATGGAGGACCCTTCACTTAAAATTTCAAATGATCCTGGACCTTCCATTATTTAAAGCAAATTTGAACCCCTGATCATGTTTAAAGTATGTTTAAAAAAGAAAGCACTTTTACTTGACCAGAAAACCACTCATAATCCACTTCCAGACATTCACAGCAGGTTAGAAAAACCTTAGAAATTATTGAAAATAGTTTACAAGTTTTTATGCTATCAAGGTAGATAAGTATTTAGGACTATAAGGTTAAAAGTACAGTATTGTCAAGTTTATTGGACACAAATTGGCATAGAAAAAATTTTTAATTTATCACAATACAAAATAACACAAACAAACTAAATGCTGGTTGTTGCCGTATTCATCTCAAATATAAAAAAAATAGATTTATAATATAAATTAAATATTCAATTGATAAGAAAAACATACAATTAAATGACACCATAGTCTCTACAACTGTTTAAACAACTCAACAACTCAGTGGTCTTGAGTTCAATCCCTGGCCACACAAACCAGACTTGAAAATTAGTATTTGTTAATTCCCTGCTAAGCATGCTGTATTTAGGAATCAATGCAGACTGTTTGGCTTAGAATTAGAATACTCTATCAGGTTAGTTAGACATGTCTTCCTGCAGACTGTTACCTTATGAAATAGCACATTCAAAATCCAGCTCAGAGAGTAGGGTCAAGTACAGAGCAGGAATCATATTCATATCACATTAGCATGTTCTTGTCCAAATATGCATATAATAGTTGCCTCTGGTCATTAAGAGCCAATCCCTCATCATCATCATGTACGACTATTTAAGTTGTAATATCACAGCTCTTTGGCTTCCTATGTGTTGATTTTCAATGCAGTACTGCTCATTAATATGTTACAAATCAAAAGGTAAAGATAACTTTATTTCATTGCAATTAAAGATCATGCAGTCAGCATCTAGTTGGGTTTTCTCACTTGGGTAAAACATTGCCAACCCTGCCATCCACTTACTAAACAATAATATTACCATATTGCATAAAACGTAAGTCAAAGTGGTCCAAAAAGAAAGGCAAAAGATACCAAAGGGACATTCAAACTCGTAAGTCGAAAATAAACTGACAACACCATGGCTAAAAAAAACCAACAGACAAACAATAGTACACAAAAACAATATAGAAAACTAAAAACTGAGCAACACGAACCCCACCAAAAACTGGGGGCAATCTCAGGTGCTCCGGAAGGGTAAGCAGATCCTGCTCCACATGTGGCACCCATCGTGTTGCTCATGTTAGTACAACCCAGTTATAAGTCTAATTTGGTAGGTCACATTCGTGGAAAAGGGGACGGATATTCCATAACGGTCAACCAACTTGTGATGGCGTCGGTAAATATTTACACAGTTCAATATCATGAAGAAATTATTAAAAGTATTCCAACATTTTGTACAAGCTGATATAAACCTGAGTCATTTATGATATATATCTTAAAACATGAACTATTTGTCAATCGAAAAACTATGTACAATTTAAAGTTAATTTTAAATTAAATTCATTGACAATTTGTTTTTAAGATGAATAAGTATTTTGCATTGGATAATGTTTAAAAGATTATGAGAAGTCATTTTGCATATCGTTCACAAAATTCCTTCTACTCATTTCAGACACACGGCTATAAGGCCTTGGGTTCATATAAAATCCTAAAATAACATCATGACTGATTGGGGAAAAGATGAAAACCAATCTATACTTTAATATACCCTGGGATTTCCTTTGTAAAAAAAAAAATATATGAATTGTAATGCATACAGAAAAGTCATTATCATTAATATACAACAATAACATTAAAGTCAAATAGCTACCATGTTTTTAACAAAAAAAGATAATAAATATATTTACAATTTACACTATAAATATTAAATTGATCCTGAGTACATAACAATGCTGAGTGTAACATATCAAATGACAGTAAAAATTGGTATTGCATTTTAGATGAACACTTTACAATGATCTAGCAACAGTTATGATGTGAAATAACTAAACTACTGACATCAATAGATCTCCTTTGTCATTTCATTACAAAACATACTATTTTCAGTAACAAAAACCTGTCCTAAGAATTTTGTTTAAAAATTGATATATTATTGCTATGAAATTCTCATTTGAATCATATCAAAATTTTATTGGGTTATCAAATTTTTTTTTTTCAGATAAAATCAATTAGTTTTGATAAGTAGAGCTAACAAATGGTAAAATTATCCTAAGTATGGAGTAAACTGTTTCTATATTGACAATTTGGGTATGGAGTAAACTTTCTATATTTTACAATTTAGGAATGGAGTAAACTGTTTCTATATTTTACAATCTAGGTATGGAGTAAACTGTTTCTATATTTTACAATTTAGGAATGGAGTAAACTGTTTCTATATTTTACAATTTAGGTATGGAGTAAACTGTTTCTTTATTTTACAATTTAGGTATGGAGTAAACTGTTTCTATATTTTACAATTAAGGTATGGAGTAAACTTTCTATATTTTACAATTAAGATATGGAGTAAACTGCCTATATTTTACAATTAAGGTATGGAGTAAACTGTTTCTTTATTTTACAATTTAGGTATGGAGTAAACTGTTTCTATATTTGACAATTTAGGTATGGAGTAAACTTTCTATATTTTACAATTAAGATATGGAGTAAACTTTCTATTTTTTACAATTAAGATATGGAGTAAACTGTCTATATTTTACAATTAAGGTATGGGGTGAACTGTTTCTATATTTTACAATTCAGGTATGGGGTAAACTGTTTCTATATTTTACAATTAAGGTATGGAGTAAACTGTTTATATATTTTACAATTTAGGTATGGAGTAAACTGTTTCTATATTTTACAATTTAGGTATGGAGTAAACTGTTTCTATATTTTACAATTAAGGTATGGAGCAAACTGTTTCTATATTTTACAATTTAGGTATGGAGTAAACTGTTTCTAGATTTTACAATTTAGGTATGGAGTAAACTGTTTCTATATTTTACAATTTAGGTATGGAGTGAACTGTTTCATATTTTACAATTTAGGTATGGAGTAAACTGTTTCATATTTTACAATTTAGGTATAGAGTAAACTGTTTCTATATTTTACAATTTAGGTATGGAGTAAACTGTTTCTATATTTTACAATTTAGGCATGGAGTAAACTTTTTTTTATTTTACAATTAAGGTATGGAGTAAACTGTTTTTTATTTTACAATTAAGGTATGGAGTAAACCTTTTCTATAGTTTACAATTTAGGTATGGAGTAAACTGTCTATATTTTAAAATTTAGGTATGGAGTAAACTGTTTCTATATTTTACAATTAAGGTATGGGGTAAACTGTCTATATTTTAAAATTTAGGTATGGAGTAAACTGTTTCTATATTTTACAATTAAGGTATGGAGTAAACTATCTATATTTTACAATTTAGGTATGGAGTAAACTGTTTATATATTTTACAATTTAGGTATGGAGTAAACTGTTTCTATATTTTACAATTAAGATATAGAGTAAACTGTTTCTATATTTTACAATTTAGGTATGGAGCAAACTGTTTCTTTATTTTACAATTAAGGTATGGAGTAAACTGTTTTTTATTTTACAATTAAGGTATGGAGTTAACTATTTCTATATTTTACAATTAAGGTATGGAGTAAACTGTTTCTATAGTTTACAATTTAGGTATGGAGTAAACTGTCTATATTTTAAAATTTAGGTATGGAGTAAACTGTTTCTATATTTTACAATTAAGGTATGGAGTAAACTGTTTTTTATTTTACAATTAAGGTATGGAGTTAACTATTTCTATATTTTACAATTAAGGTATGGAGCAAACTGTTTCTTTATTTTACAATTAAGGTATGGAGTTAACTATTTCTATATTTTACAATTTAGGTATGGAGTAAACTGTTTCTACATTTTACAATTTAGGCATGGAGTAAACTGTTTCTATATTTTACAATAAAGGTATGGAGTAAACTGTTTCTATATTTTACAATTTAGGTATGGATCAAACTGTTTCTTTATTTTACAATTAAGGTATGGAGTAAACTATTTCTATATTTTACAATTAAGATATGGAGCAAACAGTTTCTATATTTTACAATTAAGGTATGGAGTAAACTGTTTCTATATTTGACAATTTAGGTATGGAGCAAACTGTTTCTATATTTTACAATTAAGGTATGGAGTAAACTGTTTCTATATTTGACAATTTAGGTATGGAGTAAACTGTTTCTATATTTGACAATACCGGTATGGAGTAAACTGTTTTTTTATTTTACAATTAAGGTATGGAGTAAACTGTTTCTATATTTTACAATTTAGGTATGGAGTAAACTGTCTTTTTTATTTTACAATTCAGGTATGGAGTAAACTGTTTCTTTATTTTACAATTAAGGTATGGAGTAAACTGTTTCTTTATTTTACAATTAAGGTATGGAGTAAACTGTTTCTTTATTTTACAATATAGGTATGGAGTAAACTGTTTCTATATTTTACAATTTAGGTATGGTGTTAACTATTTCCATATTTTACAATATAGGTATGGAGTAAACTGTTTTTTATTTTACAATGAAGGTATGGAGTAAACTGTTTTTTATTTGACAATTTAGGTATGGAGTAAACTGTTTCTATATTTGACAATACAGGTATGGAGTAAACTGTTTTTTTATTTTACAATTAAGGTATGGAGTAAACTGTTTCTATATTTTACAATTTAGGTATGGAGTAAACTGTTTTTTATTTTACAATTAAGGTATGGAGTAAACTGTTTTTTATTTTACAATTAAGGTATGGAGTAAACTGTTTTTTATTTTACAATTTAGGTATGGAGTAAACTGTTTTTTATTTTACAATTAAGGTATGGAGTAAACTGTTTTTTATTTTACAATTTAGGTATGGAGTAAACTATTTCTATATTTTACAATTTAGGTATGGAGTAAACTGTTTTTTATTTTACAATTAAGGTATGGAGTAAACCTTTTCTATAGTTTACAATTTAGGTATGGAGTAAACTGTCTATATTTTAAAATTTAGGTATGGAGTAAACTGTTTCTATATTTTACAATTAAGGTATGGGGTAAACTGTCTATATTTTAAAATTTAGGTATGGAGTAAACTGTTTCTATATTTTACAATTAAGGTATGGAGTAAACTATCTATATTTTACAATTTAGGTATGGAGTAAACTGTTTATATATTTTACAATTTAGGTATGGAGTAAACTGTTTCTATATTTTACAATTAAGATATAGAGTAAACTGTTTCTATATTTTACAATTTAGGTATGGAGCAAACTGTTTCTTTATTTTACAATTAAGGTATGGAGTAAACTGTTTTTTATTTTACAATTAAGGTATGGAGTAAACTGTTTCTATAGTTTACAATTTAGGTATGGAGTAAACTGTCTATATTTTAAAATTTAGGTATGGAGTAAACTGTTTCTATATTTTACAATTAAGGTATGGAGTAAACTGTTTTTTATTTTACAATTAAGGTATGGAGTAAACTGTTTCTATAGTTTACAATTTAGGTATGGAGTAAACTGTCTATATTTTAAAATTTAGGTATGGAGTAAACTGTTTCTATATTTTACAATTAAGGTATGGAGTAAACTGTTTTTTATTTTACAATTAAGGTATGGAGTTAACTATTTCTATATTTTACAATTAAGGTATGGAGCAAACTGTTTCTTTATTTTACAATTAAGGTATGGAGTTAACTATTTCTATATTTTACAATTTAGGTATGGAGTAAACTGTTTCTACATTTTACAATTTAGGCATGGAGTAAACTGTTTCTATATTTTACAATAAAGGTATGGAGTAAACTGTTTCTATATTTTACAATTTAGGTATGGATCAAACTGTTTCTTTATTTTACAATTAAGGTATGGAGTAAACTATTTCTATATTTTACAATTAAGATATGGAGCAAACAGTTTCTATATTTTACAATTAAGGTATGGAGTAAACTGTTTCTATATTTGACAATTTAGGTATGGAGCAAACTGTTTCTATATTTTACAATTAAGGTATGGAGTAAACTGTTTCTATATTTGACAATTTAGGTATGGAGTAAACTGTTTCTATATTTGACAATACCGGTATGGAGTAAACTGTTTTTTTATTTTACAATTAAGGTATGGAGTAAACTGTTTCTATATTTTACAATTTAGGTATGGAGTAAACTGTCTTTTTTATTTTACAATTCAGGTATGGAGTAAACTGTTTCTTTATTTTACAATTAAGGTATGGAGTAAACTGTTTCTTTATTTTACAATTAAGGTATGGAGTAAACTGTTTCTTTATTTTACAATATAGGTATGGAGTAAACTGTTTCTATATTTTACAATTTAGGTATGGTGTTAACTATTTCCATATTTTACAATATAGGTATGGAGTAAACTGTTTTTTATTTTACAATGAAGGTATGGAGTAAACTGTTTTTTATTTGACAATTTAGGTATGGAGTAAACTGTTTCTATATTTTACAATACAGGTATGGAGTAAACTGTTTTTTTATTTTACAATTAAGGTATGGAGTAAACTGTTTCTATATTTTACAATTTAGGTATGGAGTAAACTGTTTTTTATTTTACAATTAAGGTATGGAGTAAACTGTTTTTTATTTTACAATTAAGGTATGGAGTAAACTGTTTTTTATTTTACAATTTAGGTATGGAGTAAACTGTTTTTTATTTTACAATTAAGGTATGGAGTAAACTGTTTTTTATTTTACAATTTAGGTATGGAGTAAACTATTTCTATATTTTACAATTTAGGTATGGAGTAAACTGTTTTTTATTTTACAATTAAGGTATGGAGTAAACTGTTTTTTATTTTACAATCAAGGTATGGAGTAAACTGTTTTTTATTTTACAATTAAGGTATGGAGTAAACTGTTTTTTATTTTACAATTAAGGTATGGAGTAAAGTGTTTCTTTATTTTACAATTAAGGTATGGAGTAAACTGTTTCTTTATTTTACAATTAAGGTATGGAGTAAACTGTTTCTATATTTTACAATATAGGTATGGAGTAAACTGTTTCTTTATTTTACAATTAAGGTATGGAGTAAACTGTTTCTTTATTTTACAATTAAGGTATGGAGTAAACTGTTTTTTATTTTACAATTAAGGTATGGAGTAAAGTGTTTCTTTATTTTACAATTAAGGTATGGAGTAAACTGTTTCTTTATTTTACAATTAAGGTATGGAGTAAACTGTTTCTATATTTTACAATATAGGTATGGAGTAAACTGTTTCTTTATTTTACAATTAAGGTATGGAGTAAACTGTTTCTTTATTTTACAATTAAGGTATGGAGTAAACTGTCTATATTTTACAATATAGGTATGGAGTAAACTGTTTCTTTATTTTACAATTTAGGTATGGAGTAAACTGTTTTTTATTTTACAATTAAGGTATGGAGTAAACTGTTTCTATATTTTACAATTAAGGTATGGAGTAAACTGTTTCTATATTTTACAATTAAGGTATGGAGTTAACTGTTTCTATATTTTACAATTAAGGTATGGAGTTAACTGTTTCTTTATTTTACAATTAAGGTATGGAGTTAACTGTTTCTTTATTTTACAATTAAGGTATGGAGTAAACTGTCTATATTTTACAATATAGGTATGGAGTAAACTGTTTCTTTATTTTACAATTTAGGTATGGAGTAAACTGTTTTTCATTTTACAATTTAGGTATGGAGTAAACTATTTCTATATTTTACAATTTAGGTATTGAGTAAACTGTTTTTTATTTTACAATTAAGGTATGGAGTAAACTGTTTTTTATTTTACAATTAAGGTATGGAGTAAACTGTTTTTTAGTTTACAATTAAGGTATGTAGTAAACTGTTTCTTTATTTTACAATTAAGGTATGGAGTAAACTGTTTCTATATTTTACAATTTAGGTATGGAGTAAACTGTTTCTTTATTTTACAATTTAGGTATGGAGTAAAAAAAGAGGGGCGAAAGATACCAGAGGGACAGTCAAACTCATAGATCGAAAACAAACTGACAACGCCATGGCCAAAATAAAAAGACAAACAGACAAATAATAGTACAGATGACACATCATAGAAAACTAAAGACTAAGCAACAAGAACCCCACCAAAAACTGGGGGTGATCTCAGGTGCTCTGGAAGGGTAAGCAGATCCTGCTCCACATGTGGCACCCGTCGTGTTGCTTATGTTATTATTAATCCGGTAAATAGTCTAATTCAGTAAGTCACATTCGTGAAAAGGGAAGGGTATTGTAGTTACGACATAAGGAACATATCCGATATCATCTGTGAAACGGTTATTCCATAGAGTCAACCAGTAAACTGTCTTTTTTATTTTACAATTAAGGTATGGAGTAAACTGTCTTTTTTATTTTACAATTAAGGTATGGAGTAAACTGTTTCTTTATTTTACAATTAAGGTATGGAGTAAACTGTTTTTTATTTTACAATTAAGATATGGAGTAAACTTTCTATATTTTAAAATTTAGGTATTGAGTACACTTTCTATATTTTACGATTGAGATATGGAGTAAACTGTCTATATTTTACAATTTAGGTATTGAGTGCACTTTCTATTTTCTAAAATTTAGGTATGGAGTCAACTGTCTATATTTGACAATTTAGATATGGAGTAAACTGTTTCTATATTTTACAATTTAGGTATGGAGTAAACTGTCTATATATTTTACAATTTAGGTATGGGGTAAACTGTTTCTATATTTTACAATTCAGGTATGGGGTAAACTGTTTCTATATCTTACAATTCAGGTATGGGGTAAACTGTTTCTATATTTTACAATTCAGGTATGGGGTAAACTGTTTCTATATTTTACAATTTAGGTATGGAGTAAACTGTTTCTATATCTTACAATTCAGGTATGGGGTAAACTGTTTCTATATTTTACAATTCAGGTATGGGGTAAACTGTTTCTATATTTTACAATTCAGGTATGGAGTAAACTGTTTCTATATTTTACAATTTAGGTATGGAGTAAACTGTTTCTATATCTTACAATTCAGGTATGGGGTAAACTGTTTCTATATTTTACAATTTAGGTATGGGGTAAACTGTTTCTATATTTTACAATTTAGGTATGGGGTAAACTGTTTCTATATTTTACAATTCAGGTATGGGGTAAACTGTTTCTATATTTTACAATTTAGGTATGGAGCAAACTGTTTCTATATTTTACAATTTAGGTATGGAGTAAACTGTCTATATCTTACAATTTACACATGGGGTAAACTGTTTCTATATTTTACAATCTGTTTCTATACTTAAACTTGTTCAGCCATTTATTAACTGAACTGGACACTAGTCAAAAGACATAAACATTGTGATTTATGAAGTTTAACAGGTTTCCATGACAACTGTCTGTATACATTCTTTTCAAATACTTAGCAACATCACTTCCTGAAAACAGAATGATTAATGTGAAAAATATTTAATAACAATGTTTGAACAAGTATTTTCTCAATTTTTAGAATTTTAATACCTAGAAAGCAAACTTAATCAAAATTTTGTAAGTTTAAATCATATGAATGAGGATGCCCTCTTTGCTAAAAAAAAAATTTGTTTTTCTCTTTCTTTTCACTTAAATCTGACTAAATCTGCATTCAATTCTTATAATAATTTGTTATGTTCATGTTTCTCAGTCTTTATTTTTTATGTAGTATTTTATAAACTGTTGTTTGTCTGTTCATCGTTTTTTGTTTTCTACTATGATTTTTGTTGCCTCTTTTCTAAACAGAATACTTAATATCATTGAAGGTATTAAAGAAAGGCAGTCTAAGTGATGATTATATTATCAATTATGATTCAATATATCATGAGAAACAACTTCCTATACCAAATTTTTAACTCATTGTTGAAGATTTTACAATTTGTATATGGCTTTGGTGGGGTTTGGTGCTGGACAGAAGGAGGCAGTTTTTTTCTTTTACAGAAAGCACCACAATGAAAATTTAATACAAAATCTAAACTCTTATGATGAAGAGTGATGCCCCCACTACCTATAGAACTATTTTAAAACCGCTCTTGATCTCTTCCTCTCTTCCATCCCTTTTTCTGTACCACCCAATTAGAACAAATAGCATTAATATGCTGTGGCTTGGGTTTTTTGTTGGTTTTTTGTGTCATTTTGTCAGATGTCACCCTTCCCATATCAATTTTTCCAAACATATTAGTTTTACCTACCTCATCTGAATCAGAATTTCCATTAGCACCATAAGCAGCCTAAAACATAAATACAAACTACAGTGAAGTAAAAATAAATACATTACACCATAATTTAGTTGTATATTTATACTTTAATGTTTTGCTACAGGTAAATTAATTTTGCTAAATTTTTCTATTTTATTATTTAACAGTAACATTGACCTTTTGTTATATTTTGCATTGGAAAAGTATGTGTGCACCTAAGAAACTACTTTATATTAAATGAAATTTTGAAAGTAGCTTTAATAAAGCTCTAAAATTATTTTAATGCTTCTTGGCTGTTTCCACAATAGAAATATGGATGAAAAACTGCATTAATTCAAGAGTTTCTTTTTTTTCTTAACCAAGATGCTTATTATGACGTAATTTCGTTGTCATAACATCAAAAAATTTTATGTAATTCATTCATATTTCTTGACCGTATGCATTTCCAAACATAATGTGCAAATTTGAAATAGTTCTCAACAAGAAAGTCAAGAATGTGTCCATAGTACACGGATGCCCCACTCGCACTATCATTTTCTATGTTCAGTGGACCGTGAAATTAGGGTCAAAACTCTAATTTGGCATTAACATTAGAAAAATCATATCATAGGGAACATGTGTACTAAGTTTCCAGTTGATTGGACTTCAACTTCATCAAAAACTACCTTGACCAAAAACTTTAACCTGAAGCGGGACAGACGGACGGATGGATAAACGGATGGGCGGACGGACGGACGAACGAACGAACGGATGCACAGACCAAAAAACATAATGCCCCTAGGTGGGGCATAAAAACTTGATTTTTCAGGGCCAAAAAGGGGACTTTAATGCGGCCCCTTCTCCTTTTTATTGATGGGTGTTAAATGGAATAAAAAAAGAAAAAATCATCACATAAAAATATTATGTTATTACCTTTAATTCATCTTCAACCATTATCAAATTGACACAATCACTGCTTGGTGATAAAACACCTGATCTAGAGACAGGAGAGAAAACATTTCTCAGTCTATTTGGTCTTGCTGGACTGATCAATTTAAACTTCTTCCTTGATGAACTGCTTTGATCAGTTGACTTTGATGGTCCATTATGTTTCTCACTGGAAGGAGAATACTGTCTAGATAGAGTTTGATTTTTGAATTTTTCCATTAATTCTGTGTTCAGAGATGTGAATTTTTTAGGCAATATGATTGGTTTCCCACTTGATTTGTGTCGACTGCTGAATACCACTTTCTGATCAGCAATGGATGATTCTTCAGACATGGATGATTTTTTCTCATGTTCTCTTCCAAACTGAAGCAAATGTAATGGTGACTTGTTTGACACCTGTTGTATACTGGTAGATGGTGACTTGTTTGACACGTGTTGTATACTGGTAGATGGTGACTTGTTTGACACGTGTTGTATACTGGTAGATGGTCTATTTGATGACTGGGCGTTGAAGCGCTGAAGAGGTGAAAGTTCATCCGCTTTTTGCTGTACATTAGTTTGATATAAAGGAGATAATACATTCTTTCTTCTGTTCCTGTCAATACTGGTAATTGCTTCACTAGATCTTTTTTGTGGGGTCACCCTGTTCAATTTAACACTATTTTTTTCATCCTCGAAGCAGTTACTATTAACAGTTTTATTTTTAAACAATTTACTTTCTGCAGACATTGTTTCATCGCAAATTATATCAGAATTATATATTCCTGATTTTCTACCAATATTGTTGGTTCCAAAACTTTTACTGCCAGTCTGACTGCTTATCATGTCAGCCTTTTTTAAATTTGCGTTCATGCCATTGCTTTTCCGATTACTTTTTTCTATTGTGTCTGATGGACTAGACAAGAAATGTTTATTTCCTAAAGAGATGGTTTCATTGACAGAATAATCAAAATTACCAGCAAATACCCCTGATTTTTTACTGACAGTCTGCTTGGTGTCTGATTTCTCATTAACAGTTTTGCGGGGTCCAGATTTTTTTGTCATACTAGCTGCCAACTCTTCCTTATCATTAGCCGATTTCACTCTTTTTCTTTCCTCTTTTCTTTGCATGTTGATAAAACCTCTCTTTGCATCTGGAGTCATTTCATATTCATAAGGATCAATTGAGTTCTTATCATCCTCTGCAATAAAACTATCACCAACTTGTAATTTGTCTACATTACAATTTTTTTCAACTGGATTTTTGTCTCCAATAAAATCTTCAACTAGTTTTTTGCTAGCACGAACAAACTTTTTCTTCTCTCTTGTTTTCTCTCTGTCTTTGTTAAGTGAAAAAGCAGTCTTTCTAGGTTTTAAAGCCTCAGAAAACATAAGTCTCTTTCTGAATTTTTCATTTGCACTGTTTACTAAAGATCTTTTACCTTCAATGTTTAAGTATCTATTTGCATCTGCTTCCCCTGTTTGAATACAATTCCCCTCCCTTTCCATAGTTATGGATTCAACACTTGGACTGATATCTCTTTCAATTGTATTATTAGCAATTTTTGGTTTCCTTGCAGAACTTGAAGATATTCTTCCTTCTTGATCAGATGTTAATCTACCAGTTTTGTCAGACATTGATAGACCAGTTTCAGCTGAAGTTAATCTTTCAGTTTTGTCAGATGTCGTCAGTTTAATTTGCTGTTTTTGTTTGATGACATTTCCATCATCAGAATTTTTATAAACCACGGGATGTAAACAATTAGAATCCTCATTCTTTTCTTTAAAGGCATTACTTAAAGATTTCCTACAATTATCTCTTTTCATATCAATTTGCCGTGAAATTTCAGTCATGCACTTATCACTGACAACTCTACTACTGAAACTGTTGCTTCTAACAGTATATGTTTTATCGAGTTCCTTTGTTTGATATCCACTTTGTTCTGCAATATCCAAGGACCTTTGTCTTCCCTTGTTTCTTACATTTGACAATTCATACATCTTTGATCCTGGTCTCAAATTTTTGCTATTTGAGGATTTTCTTTCCTCAGACATGGCTCCATAGTTACGATCACTACTGACTGTTTTTGTCAATTCAGACTGAAGACACTCTTGATCAGGTCCAGGCTCATTGCATGCAGAATCATTTACATCCAACATCACTTCATGTTCTACTATGTCTGAACGTTTAAAATTTTGTTTTAAATATCGTCTCCTTTTCTGTTTTAACCTATCTGAATCTGAGGTCCCCCTTTTTCTTGACGGCATTGTTGAACTCCTTTTGTATCTTTCAAGATCTTCTATCAGTTTTGTGTGTACATCACACTCTTGGCGTTTTAAATTGACCTCAGTACTAAACTCTTTTGAAGTAACATCAACATGACCTTGATATAAAGCTTCTTGATCCTTATCATTTGTAATCAGCTTCTTTTGTTCTAATTTAGTTTTATATAAAAGTTCTTCATTGTCAAATGATTTGTTATTTATAATCGGATGTCTTCCTGCTCTTGACACATCTGGTGATCTTGGCCAATACATCATTCTAATTTGTTCACTGGACGAAACATATCCTTTTCTGCATTTCCTTTTGACTTCTGGATGTGTTCTTGTTAGATTGTTTTCAAAATTTACATGCTCCACTGATTCTTCTAACTGGGGACTATTTGAAACTCTTTCATCAGAGTAGGTTTCAAGTTTAGTAGCTTTTTTGTGAAACGATTTTTTTTCTTGATTTAGTTTTTCGTCACTTCTTATTCTATTGGGTATACCTAAATACTGTTTTGGTGTGTTTTGTCTTTCAAGCTGAACATTTTTGTTTGGGCTTTTTACTTTTTGTAGATTTTTATCAAATGTAACAGGATGACGGTGTTCATCTCTTCCTTCCGATGTTCTAAGTAATGGACTTTGTTTGTTAAATACAGTAGAAAGGTGAATAACTTGAGTGTGGTGATTGTCGCAGTTTCTATTTTGGTCTCTCAGATTTATTTTTTTTAAATAATTATTTCTCGAACTGTTATTGTTATTAACATTTTCCATATCAGATGACCTCCTCTGTCTATCATGGTTTCTCCCGGAGTCTTGTATCAAATTTTCTTCTTGTATTTCTTTAAAATCTTGACATTCCTCATTACATCTTAAAGGATCAACTATCGCCACCCGACACCCTGAGCTGTGACTAGATGTATCACTTTTATCGGTATCCACTATAGATGTTCCTAATTTCAATAAATCCAAGGAGGAAGGCTGACTTCTCTGTATATCTGATGCCACATGAGGACTGTGGCTGTAATGTGGTACATACACTGAAGGATATATTTTGTCTAGAAAAAGAAGAAACAATTTCATTATAAGAATTTAGAAGTCAATATATTAATAACCAGTAATCTAGAGGGTAAAATTTTCCAGAAAAATTCAATAAGTTAATATAATTAAGTTTAAATCATCTTTCAGACCTGTGAGCTAAAAATAGTGGCATCATAACAATATGGTCTAATTACAGTGAAATACTGGCATATAAAAATATGATAAATGGTATACAGTAAAAAATGGTCGTCTGATACTTTACTTTCTACTCATGGCAGGATTCTCACTAACTAATTTTTCAAAAGACTTCAGAAATTCATCATTTTCCCCATTGTGAGTCAATAAATCTGAATAAAATTGATATCAAAGTCCAACTCATCATTTTATTCTTCCTTTCAAAACAAAATGGTTGGGATTGAAATTTAGATTAGGAATTTTGTTTTTTCTTTTTTTTTGTATGTGTTGATTCCTATACTCAGTTCATAGCATCACAATACAACTTGGGGCCCCATCTTTTCAGAAGAATCACCATGAGAACCCAGTTATGGTTTGTTTATTCTAATAATAGATTATACTAAATATTACACATATGTACTTTCACGGTACAACAATCTGTAAATACTTGTAGTTTGGCATTGCACAAGGTCATGTTTTTCTCTGGCTGTTATTGACGTCTTTACACTAAATCCATTGGATGTTGGACGTGTACTGATTGATATTTTAGTCTTAGATACATGATTTTTTTCATTAGTTGTTATTGGCTTTGAACTAGCTGTCAGTAACTGCGAGTACTCTCAGATCTGTACTTATAGTGTCTTTTTGTTTTTGGGATATATAAGTACCCGTCCATGTCCACTTTGTGATTTTGTTAGATGTATTTCTAATTGTATCCATCTGATGAGTTAAGCCTTTTTCAACTGATTTTTATAGTTTGTTCTAATGTTGTACTGTTACACCACTGTCCCAGGTTAGGGGGAGGGTTGAGCGCTCACAAACATGTTTAACCCTGCCAAATTCTTTATGTGCCTGTCCCAAGTCAGGAGCCTGTAGTTCAGTGGTTGTCGTTGGTTCATGTCTGCTATATTTGTTTTTTTGTAAACTGTTTTCTTATAAATTAGGCCGTTACTTTTCTCAATTGAATTGTTTCATATTTTTCATGTCAGGGCCTTTTATAGCCGACCATATGGTATGGGTTTTTCTCATTATTGAAGGTCGTACGGTTGCCTATTATTGCTTACATCCACTTCATTTGAACTTTGGTGGATAGTTGTCTCATTGGCAATCATACCACATCTCCATATTCTTATATTAGGCAAATACAGATGATCGTTTTCATGCTTTTGTAAAATATATACTGTTTTTATCATATATATGTGAATTGAGTAATTGACATACTTAATCATGAAACTTTAATTAATTTTATGCATGAATGTTAGACAAGGATGGCAGTTTAAAATTATCTCTGATTTCATAAGTGAGAAACTAATATATTATGTAGGGCATCCAGCTGTGAAAAATATATCTATTCTAGAAACAGGTGTGCTACTTGTTTAAAATCATACACAGGTGTTTAATAATTAACTTCAAAGTACTCTTTAGTACATGTACACCTAAACAAATAGAAATCAACTTTTCTTATATGGTGATGTTTGATAGTACAGTTTATGAAATTGGTAGTCGAACTACTGTATCACTAGCCTGTCAACACAGAGGTTACGAGTTTGAATCCTGCATGTGGCAGGTGTGCTCAACTCCACTCTTAATTGAATAAGATAGTAATTTTTCCTACCAAAGGTCGGTGGTTCTTTCTGAGCACTCCGGCTTCCTCCACCAATAAAAAATGACTGCCACAAAATAGCACAATAACGCTGAAAGTGGCGTTAAACACCAATCAATCAATTAATGTAGGAAATAGGAAGTAAATAATTAAATGAGAAATATGAAGTTTGAAAGTATTAATTTAGTTCTTAGTGTTAATTTTTAAACATGCATCCAGACCACATCATAACATAGAACTCAGCAGGTCACAATGAATAAGGTTGCTCTTTTGAAGTGGTAAAAATAAAGACCCAGAAATAGTGTTTGTGCTAAATATACATGTACTCAAATCAGGCTTGTCTCTGGGTTTGGTTGTGGCCAAGTTGTTCATCAAATATACCATGCTCTAACCCTGAACTCTGACCCGGTTTTTTAGTTGATCTATTAAGTTTAATCGGCTAAATAACCATTACTTTCTCTTCATTGTGATTATTTGCATGGAAAGGTTAAGTCATGACACCTTTGATTTTAAATATTGAAAACTAAAAAGATTCATCCTTTCATTCAAATTGTGTGTACAATGTCTGAAAAAGACTGGCATTTTGGTAAGTATATACTCGGACAAAAAAAGTGATATTTATTCTGTACGTTTTGACCTCCAACTCAGAACATCAGAAAGGGTTGTCTGAACTATGTATGGTAAACACTGACATAGTTGTTTGGCCCTTGTCCTCTACATTTTGTCTGACATTTCAATGTTTTTCTCCCCTCTTATCTTCCTGTTAATAATGTGTGCCAATATTGATAGATTGAGTGTATTTTTTAACTGAACCTGTTGGACATTTTAAAATTTGTTTTCATCAAATTTTCACAACATTATCACACGTTAAATTTTAAAGTTTTTTTTAGGGCAAAAATTATGAGTTAATGAACCCACTCCTGTTCAAGCATCCAGGATTGATGGACTGATTATAGTGAATGAACCTAGTTATGTGTCGTCTTTTCTAATAATAAAGTTAATACTAAGTAATAATGATGAGTTTTTTTTATAAATAAATACTGCTTTTATCATATATGTGTGAATTGACATATTTAATCATAGAACTTTAATTTCATGTATGGATATATCTCCAGCAGTGTTAGGCAAGAATGTCAGGCTGAAATTCTACCTGAATTCATTAGTGTGAAACTAATGTCGGTCATCCAGCTGTAAAAAAAAATATCTGTTGGAAAACAGGTGTGCCATTCATTTAAGATCATACTCAGATGTTCATCAAATACCATTTTAGTACACACAAGCAATCAACTTATTCTTATATGTAGTTAAAAGAGAAGTACCTCTGTCGGACCTCTGACTCTGAACATCAGAAAGAGTTGTCTGAACCAAGTGTGGTAAACATTGACATAGTTGTCTGCCCTTGACATCAACATTTTTATGACGTTTCAATGTATTTCTCCCCTCTTATCTTACTGTTTATTTTGTGTATCAATATTGATTGATTGATTGTTGGTGTTTAATGACACTTTCATTATTCTTAGTTATATCATTGCGGCCATTTTTAATGGTGTAGGAAGCCGAAGTACCCGTAGATAACACTAACCTTCATCTGGAAATCGTGCACTTATATCAATGATTAACTAGTCATGATGATATTACTTCAAAAAGTATTTCAATGGATTATTGAAATTAAGACTATTGATAGATATTATACATTTTATATGATGTTTGTATTATGCATCTGAATTTGGATGAAGTCTGACCTAGTCATTTAATCTGCACTGTTCTGTCATCATTTTGATTGCAAACTGACCGATACACAAAATCCATTGACCCATAGTGCAATTACTAAAGTGAGGCAAAAAAAAAATTGTGTTTCAAGTAGCCCGACAGACCCTAATTTATAGGCTCCAACTCCAACTTAAAAAAAAAAAAGTTATGTAAAAGCCTTTTAGTGACTGTGAATCATAATAAACAAAATGGCTGGTTATCACTAGTTTGCTAGCAGTTCAGTGGATGAAATGCCACATAAACAAACGTCCATGACAGTTTAACACTCAAAAACATACGAACAAGGGTTCAATGAACTTCATGATGAGATTGATTGAAGAAAAAAAAATCCTAACCTGCTGACCCTATTTTTTGGGGGCACGCCACCGAAAAACACCTTTTTTTTTTTTGGCCTGATAAAGTTTATGTATTTCACACTTGTAAATATGACTCTTCAGAAAGGGTTTTACTACAAGATAGAAAAATTACAGGTAATCATTTTTCTATACCAAAGCTACCCTGTGGCCTGGGGGTCAAGTTTTTTAACAAAAACAACTCATATGTAATGTATATTAGTTACCTGTATTGGACCCCATAAGAAATCCTATAGGAAGCTCAGATGCTAGAAACGGATGCAGGGCTGCTTCTCTTGGTTTAAATCTTTTGTCTGAAATTAAAGAATTATTTTTCAATTTCAATTACTGAAGAAACACGAAAGTCATCCATGCCTTTAAAAATCTTAATAAATACTGCCTGACCTACTGACTTCAAACAGGCTCATTTGCTCATCTGGAAATCAAACAGTTTAAATAGATTTCCTAATCAAACTATCTAATTTATAAAATATCATTTTGTTTTATTCATATTAAGTAATTTCTTACTCAGTGAAGTGTTATTGATTTTCAAAGTGAAATCAAAGAGTTTAAAATTGATTTCCTAAGCAAACCATCAAATAAATTAGATATCATTTTGTTTTATTCATATTAAGTAATTTCTTACTCAGCCATGTGTGTTTGATTGTCAAAGTGACCTTTCCAGATAATTTTAATAAGGTTAAAAGACTAACGCCACATTACCCAAATTGCACAGAGTACCCAATTTGCACCCATTTTCCAGTGGAAACCTTTTCTTAGAGACTAAATAACTTGTATTTTATAATTTACCATTATGCACATCTATCAACAAAGCATAATATATTTTAAAATGCACAAAACTGTCACATTATATATCAACTGATAATGTATCACGTGAAAAAGTGAAATCTACGGAAACGTCTCATGCGACGTCCACAAAAAGCCAACTTTTGAAAATGAACAACTAAAACATGTCCAAGGTATCCATTTCTTACCAAATTAATAGTAAGCATGGGCTATTATCAAACTGTTTTCAAAATGTGAAAAAATAAAACAAAAGATCAGATATTCAATTTTTAAGGTAGTGAACTTAAGCATGGATGCAATTTAGGTACAGAATCTTGGGTTGTTTGGAGGTCAGTTCAAACCTATTTTTCTATGATTCAGTATGGATTCAAATTTAAATATGTGAAACTACCCAGTATATAGTATGTATGCATACATCTACAAAATAAACACAGAATGGAAACTTTTTTCTGGGTCTTAAATAAACGTATGTGAAAAGCTGTCAAAGTAAATGCAATTTGGGTACCCTCACATTAGCCTTTTGATCACAACGACTGCCTTTCTTTTTATAGAATAACTCCCTACCTGGGTTATACTGCAAACAGCCAGCCAAAAATGAACAAAACTTTCAGAATAACTCCTTACCTGGGTTATACTGCAAACAGCCAGCCAAAAATGAACAAAACTTTCAGAATAACTCCTTACCTGGGTTATACTGCAAACAGCCAGCTAAAAAAGATCAAAACTAGTAGAATAACTCCTTACCTGGGTTATACTGCAAACATCCAGCCAAAAAAGAACAAAACTTGTAGAATAACTCCTTCCCTGGGTTATACTGCAAACATCCAGCCAAAAAAGAACAAAACTTGTAGAATAACTCCTTCCCTGCATTATACTGCAAACAGCCAGCCAAAAATGAAAAAACTTGTAGAATAACTCCTTACCTGGATTATACTGCAAACTGCCAGCCAAAAAAGAACAACACTTGTAGAATGACTCCTTACTTGGGTTAAACATGTACTGCAAACAGCCAGCCAAAAAAGAACAAAACTTGTAGAATAACTCCTTACCTGGATTATACTGCAAACAGCCAGCCAAAAAAAGAACCAATCTTGTAGAATAACTCCTTACCTTGGTTATACTGAAAACATCCAGCCAAAAAAGAACAAATCTTGTATAATAACTCCTTACCTGGGTTATACTGCAAACATCCAGCCAAAAAAAGAACAAATCTTGTAGAATAACTCCTTACCTGGATTATACTGCAAACAGCCAGCCAAAAAAGAACAAAACTTGTAATCTCTACACTTAAGGTGATCCATTAAATCCTGACAGACTGGAAAAAACAAGAACCAGATGTATTGTGTGCTATTGATCACTTATTTATCATTACACTCCTCCTCAATACTGTCACCAATTAGCATTATCAAAATATAAATTTTACTATATGTGTGCAGGACATTATATTTTTATAAGTTTTTGACAAAGGGAAGTTCAACATGGAAGGAATTAAAATGGGGTCACACATTTTGGCATTACCAGATGAAGCTTTTTTCAAGAATCAAGTCTGGGAGCAGTAAATTAAGATTTATATTGGACAAAATATCTGATGGATATTTTATCAATTGTTCGCAGAAATTTCATTCACATCAGTTAAGTAATTGAACTCTATAAACTTGAATTTCATTGTCATAGAGTTAATATACAAGATAGCAACAACCATGCTTTATCAGACACATTTCACAGAGATACATTAATATCACTTAATTTTTTTCCACACATTTTTTGCAAGGTTAACAATAGATTATCTTTTGTTTTTACCATTTTCCTGCGTGTTAGTTCCGGTGAAACTCTTCAACTCGCTGTAATATTTCCCTTTCTGGAATACATTAGTAGGTAGTAATCCTAAGATCTCAGTCATCTGAAAAATAATAAGCAGAATAAACATACCTCATCACCTTATTTTTATATGTATGCTTGACAAATTGTATTGACACTTATCTATTGTTGAAGACCATATTTTGGCCTCTAGTGCTACCTTTTTTGGTGTTGTTTGGTTGCTGTCATTGATGTACTGTGGATTCATTTATATTTTTTTTTGTGGATACCAATTTTCATGGATTGAAGAAAACTTGTATATTTGTGGATATTTGATTTCATGATTTTGTCAAAGTCTGTCATATAAGCCCATAGATGATTTATACTTCGTTGAACATTTAAATTCATGGTTAACCTGTACCGACGAAAATTTGTATCCAACGAAAAATAATGAATCCACAGTATACCTCATTCATATATGAGATGTGTCAGATAGAAATCGACCTTATGCAAATGAATATCAATACATCTGTTGACTTATTTTGGGTTGAAAAAATCTTTATGGAAAGTCTGTAACTGTTTGAAAATTGAGTTGTTGTAAGAACCCTTCTTAATTAATCGAATGTTCCGAAATCAAACAGAGTCTTATACATGTATATGTATACATGCAATTGCATAAGGTCGATTTCTATCCAACACAGCTAATATGTTATTCATGGTTATTGTTTTTACTTTTCTATAATCATTACATAAATACATAAATTTTTGGTCAATAGCTGAATTTCAATATAAATAAGTTGGTGTACAGTATAACATAGTATTATTTGTATTCCTTTTTATTCCTAAATTATTCTAGAGTTAAGCCTTTTTCAACTGATTTTTATAGTTTGTTCTTATGTTGTACTGTTACACCACTGTCCCAGGATAGGGAGAGGGTTGAGCGCTCACAAACATGTTTAACCCTGCCACATTCTTTATGTGCCTGTCCCAAGTCAGGAGCCTGTAGTTCAGTGGTTGTCGTTGGTTCATGTTTGTCATATTTGTTTTTCCAAAATTGTTTTGTTATAAATTAGGCCGTTAGTTTTCTCAATTGAATTGTTTCATATTTTTCATGTCGGGGCCTTTTATAGCCAACCATACGGTATGTGTTATTCTCATTGAGGAAGGCCCTACGGTTGCCTATAATTGCTTACATCCATTTTATTTGAACTTTGGTGGATAGTTGTCTCATTGGCAATCATACCACATCTCCTTATTTTTATATATGTACCCGGTACATAAAACTGATATTATTTCGATTTCTAAGACGGAAGAATGTGTGATATCATTGTCATCAGTGCTGATGACTCATTCCTCTCATCAAAATTATACCAGAAACAGATACCAGCCTAATGGTCCTGTTAAGTGTTGTTCTATTGATGTTGCATTAGCAAACAAAAAAATTATGAGCATCACAAGAAAATATGTGAAGGACTTTTTAAATAAATTTGTCAAATTTTGTATAAAGTAATGGTGGCCATCTTGATTTGTAGATGGGTCACCTAATGCAATAATTCAAATTATTATTCCATTTAACTCTGGTAGGACTGGTCTCATTATAAAAAAGGTTTCATTTTATTTAATTGGATAAATAAAAAGATGTATACCTCAATTCTACAGCAACCCAATGACAAAAATAAGAACAAGATGTATAGAGGACAACATGCAGTCTAAAACAACAGACTGGTGTCCATATAATATATCAAGCATTGAATCGTATGAGTCTACAAAAATTGTAAATAAATTGAGCAGAAACAATCAAAGATCTGCCATTCACACTCAATTCTCCAAATACCGAAAAACATTAAAACATGAAATATGACAGCCACTGTGAAGAGGTCCCATGGAAATGTGGTGGGTTTTAGATCTTAGATCCTGTATTTTTTTTAATTAATAATCTTTTTAAATGGTACCAGATTAGTCAAATGATTTTTCATGTACATAGTATGTTGTATCTGATAATAAACTCTATTTACTTTAATTAGGAAATGAATGCTTCTTTTTGTAATTCTATTGGGGTGTAAAAAAGTTGACTGAAGCACATTTTGTATGAAATGCGAAAGCGCTTCATTCAAAAAAATGTGTGCACGATCAACAATTCTACAACCCTATCAAATTACTAAAAGAAGCATTTATTTCTTATAATTACATTTTTATGCTAAGACCATGAAAAAAAAGTTTTATCAAGTTTTTCTTTTATTTACCTTTTTTGTGGAAGCACATGTCATCACGACTGTAACATTTCATTTTGATATGAAGTTAATTTTTCAATGATGCACAATTGTTGTTAGCCATTCAAACTAACGGATTCTCGTGAAACGTACATGAAATGTAATTATTTTAATTTGAGGCTAGCAAAATTGTTTAACTACCAAGTTACCTTTTTAACAATGGATTTCTCATCACTACCAAGAAACAGTGGTTTCCCAGCATACAATTCTGCCAAGATACATCCAACTGACCAAATATCTATTTCTGAGCCAAATGGAATACCAAATATTACCTGTAATAATAAAAGTATATTCTTGTTACTATAACTGGCTTAATTAAACATCAAGCACATGTTTAAATAATGCTAAGTCATTATTTTCTTTAAATTTGATCCCCAAAATACCCAGGTGGACCTCTTATTTTTTTTTTACCTAAATTTCTACGAAAAGAATTATTTTAATATTAGACCTGACTTTTTTCCAGAGTTTATTTAAATGGACAAGAAGACCGTTCCGTTGTTAACTTCTACGCATTTGGTCTCTGGTGGAGAGTTGACTCATTGGCATTTATACCACATTTTATTTTTATAATTTACTCAAAAACAAACAAAAGTCTAGTTTACACATCAATAAAATCTGGAGTAATGCATTCAGTGTTAACTCTTTTAATTTCTTATTCTAACAATGGTCGATTGTAAATAATGTTTTATGTGTGTTAAGTGATTTCAGTCAATGTTGACCTTAGATAATTTTTGGTGTCCTATTTAGGCCCTCTAAGTTTTAAGCTCTAGTGATTTCTATTTTTGATCTTCATTAATTTTGGTCTCCAGTGTCCATAAGGGAGAATATTCTAGAAACATGTATCATGCACAGAAATCAATACATGTAGCATAACTTCTTTATTACAACTTGGTCTGGACCCCTGCAGTAGACTCAGTCCTAAGGGTACCAGCAGCTAGTGCTTTTATTGCTGGCATAGGATTTAAAATGATATATCTTATTTGATATTTTCCAGTTCATAAATTATGTAATGTTACTTAAACTAAGATTGCAACTCCTTAAGGCAAAATTGACCTTTCTGTACCGAAATTGGTTAAGACATGAATGGTTTCTGCTGTTAAAAACTAATTTCATTTTGAATGCTTTTAGCTTGCGTAATTTGTCAGTGCATTTTTAGTTTGATCTTTTCGATTACAAAAGGTTGTTCTCCCGCCTTTTCCATTTATTGAGTTTAGTTTACATCAAACCAGTTCAACAGGTAGATTATCAACACATTTTGCATTTATAGGCATGATAAGAACTTTCTTACACTTTGTCATTTATATTGTAGATGCATGTTGCAGTTTATTGAGTAGGTCAACTGTTCTGGACAATTAAGGAGTGTCTAAAATTGCATATCAAAAAACTAGTTGGTTAGCCATATTTTTGCAATGGTTTTGTTTGTTTTATTTCTTATTGAGAAATTAGTAACTCTTATTGAGAAATAAAAAAATCTTTTTGAGAAATAAGAATGTTTTTTTTTCATAAAGACATTGTTAAGGAGAATAAAAATATAAATTCTTCACCTCAGGTGCTCTATAGAGTGGTGTTTGAACCTGAAAATCTTCATAGTAAAGAGAAACCTCTTTATGTATGTGATGGATGGCATTTCCAAAATCTATAACCTTCAATGATCCAAGGTCATCCTCTGAAATTTAAAACATATAAGTAAAACAAATCCTTTTATTGTAACATTAAATTAAAGGAATACAGTAAAATATCTAAATCGGGGATGGGGGCAACAATATAAGTTACATATTTTAGATAAGAAAATGACATAAGATCAGGAAAAAATCTTTCAAAAAAAATTGAAACGATTTGTGTCATAAATTTTTTCGGGTAGGCTGATTTTAAGGTCGGTAGGTAGGCAATATCAAACAATTCAAATTTTATTTTTGGCCTTGCATGGATACTGCAATCATTTAAAGTGGGCTTCCAGCCTTTCAAAGTAAACTGATTATAATTGATTATGAAATTTTACAATCAATTTTCTTGTTGGATTGCCTCAACTGTCCTATTTTCTCTTGCAATCAATCGTTAGAACATCACTAAAAAAAGCAGGTGCAAATTTACACTGAACCGTATTTCAATCTTGGTAACTAAAATAGTGAAAATATATGCAAGAAGACATGTCACCCTTTCATGAACACCAGTCTTTGCTATTACTCCTTAATTGCAACTACCCAGGAAAGAAGCATAAATGCTAATTTTCAAGACTTAAAGTTGACCTGAACACAAGACCCAGTAGGGAATTCAAACCCAAATCTCCTGAACTGAAGGCTAGCACATTGCACATACCTACCAACTTCCACGATTTTGACCACTTGACCCGATTACACAATTGTGATGGTGAAAAAAACTCTATAACACAATTTTTAGAAAATCTACACAAAAAACACCCATGGGGATTTTCAAAAGTTGGGAGGTATGATAAGAAGACCATCCATTCCTTGTTACTTTTGTTCCTTCTTGTGTGAAATTTTAGACAAAGCTTGCATAACGTCAAGTGGCAATTATTTCATGCATATTCAGGATAATATTATAACTTAAAAAATAAATATGGCATAGCAAAAACGAATTAGCAATTAGAAATATGTCACCAAGAGCCAGTGCACGTCAAGTTTAAGGGGGACTATCGAACATGCACAACCGAAGGGACAGGAGGTCAGGCTTTCACAAGACTTGAGCGATGGTAGGCAAAACTATAAAGCAAGCAGCAAGTTTAACAGTTTTATATAAAAACAGATCTAAATGATGATAATGATGCCAAAACAATTTACAAATAAATAAAGTCCAAATGTTCCAAATAACAAAGTCACTAATTTCACTAATCCATTCACAGTTTGAGTTTAAGTCCAAAATGTTTGAAATATTCCAAGTTAATGTTGTCCGGCTTGAACGATTACAGTTGTGTTGAGCTGTCTTTTGAGTACGGGTTTCTCCTGAGTAGCTGAGCCTGGTTGGCTTTTGAAGCACTCCTATCTGGATAACACCGCAGAGACTACACTCACGAATAACTGTTCGACCCCGATATTTAAGGCGAATGCTGAAAACTACTCATAAAATGACAGACATTGATAATTTTGATAATTGAGATAATTTGAGTATTAATACTACTGTTCAAAAATGTCCAAAGGTGAAATATGAATAATGTCAATTACAGAGATATACAAGTTAATTACATTTATAATACTAATTAAAACATAATATTGCTCAGATTAATTAATGACAATTGACAAGATACCAAAGTGTTGCTATGAGCAATTATTAATAAGCGACATGTTTCACCAAATTTACCTGAGTAATTAAATTAAAATTTGTCAAACAATTATTTCATAATTTCATATTTTCTAAAATAATATATTTTCTAAATAAAATTCACTTTAAAAACTTTTACATAAAAGAACACCTATGACAAATATAGGATACACTAAAAATATGACTAATTGTAACAATTCAGAAAGATATTTCATAAGAAGGACATACACCTAGAAACAAAAGAAATAGGAATTTCCAAATTTTTCATTAAATGTATTTTAGTCATTTTTTTATTTCCTTATAAATTTTTTTAAATTGAATTATTGTTTCCTTCTTTTATACAACACTCCTAAAATTGATATATTTCTGTTATTGTGTCTGATATATTTATAATACTGTGGATTATTGTAATTTCTTGGATATTATTTTTCATGAGTTCGTGAGTTAACCACAAGTTAAGTCTTTTACTAAGTACACCAATTTTCTAATTGATTTGAAATGCAGATTATGTTTAAACCATGAAATTTTAATTTTTCCTCAATCCAGGAAAAATTAGTACCCATGAAAATAAATGAACCCTCAATACCCATTTTGTTTAGATTTTTTTCCACAATATTTTTCAGGTATTCTGGATTTCCCCATTATCAAACACTCAAATTTAAAAAATGTAGCTAATCCCCAAAAGTCAAATCAATCATGTACAAGCTGAATGGATATTTAAAAGCAAAATTATTCATCTAAGTCTGTAAACATAAAATAAATGATACTGAGAAACGCTGTGACAGTATCAGATTGGCTTTTCCCGATAATAAAGCATAACTGTATCACAGTTAGACATTTATTTTCCTTATGTGACAAATAAACATCTTAAACATTATGGACAAAATTCCCAAGTTATACAATTATAAAAATCAAATAAAATTTTATGTCCAATGTGCAAAGACAATGAATTTGTTTTAAATCAAATAAAATAAATGATTTTCACCATCAAGACTAGCAAATGCTATTTTCTTCTAATGGTCTTGCGGAATTAAGTTACCGATGCAGAGACTAGATAAAAGATAAATTGATTATCCCATCACTGAATTGTGCAATATGAGGTTATTAAAACCCATCAAATTCACTGAATCAGATGATATTACGCGTAATCTTGCTGATCTGTATCGGTTCAGATGAAATAACACCGATTTATATGTAACAATTGACTGTAAATTGTTAAAATCCATTTTAAAATCAGATTAGAAAGCGAAGTAAATTACCTAGGATTTGTTGTAGATCAAAGTTAATTTGTCTTTATGTGACAACTTGTCGCTACCTATTTTACTTCTGGTCTTATTGTTGGTCATTTAAATCCGTTATTTTGCTATAACTCTTTTGCTATAACTCGGCTTCCCAATTGAAGTTCTGTAAATTACAGTAATGTATCAAAAATCCATTTAAACTATTTATTTAGAAACTAACTATTTATTTAGAAACTGACTCAATACACAGACCATGAAATTATTTTTTATATAGTTTTTTATATTATTACCTTTAATAACCACTCATATTTGAATTAACCATTTACAATATAAATTATTTAGATTTTATTTTATTGTCTTGAAATTAAAGCAGATCTAATTAAATATTAACATTTAGAATTTAATGAGTTCTGCCTGAAAAAATATTGATTCCAACAGCTTATAACAAATACTAGATTGGTTAGTATTCCTTTGATGTCCAGTGGCAAATATTTCATGGATATTTAGGATGAGAAAAAATTAACGGAAATCTAATATGTAGATTCTGCATAGAGGGTCAATCAGGTCCAATAACAGGAAATTTGGACTGTAAATTGAAACAGAGGACATGTTCAATATAGCCCCCACTCTGAGATTTGTTGCAAATATCCTTTGATGTCCTTTCCTCTAGACATAGGTGTGTATTTTGACATAAGAAGTCAATCAGCAAATCCTGTAACACTATGTATGTGTGAGCTTGATTGATTGATTGATTGATTGTTGGTGTTTAATGCCACTGTCAACACTATTGGCTTTATCATGTCATCCAGTCACTGTTCAATTCAAATATATATTACCATATAAACTTTAAACAATAACTTTGTGACAAATACAAAATAAGTAGACACTATAACTGAAATTCACATATATATATATATTGTGTATGGGGTCAAATGTTGCATATAAGAATTTGCTTCTTTATCTGCAGACCCACTGCAATTTATATTGTATACTGTCGATTCATTTATTTATTTTATTGTAGTAAATAAACCATTTTGTAAGACGTTTCGGCCACTTTTATTTATGTTGGTACCGATTATCCTGGATTTAGAAAAAAATGTATTTTCATGGCTATTTGATTCACTATAGAAAATTTGTACTTCATAAAGGTTTGAATTGAATTGAACAATTGGTTCAAGTTTACCCACAAAATCCACGAAAATTGGTACTGTTATGTATTTATTTTGATACTAGCTTAATACTCAGATCACAACCTTATCATAATAAACTCTTGTTACTATTCAACTTTTGTTAATATAGCTGACTATTTAATCTTGTACCATTGACATTATTTATGCAGTCTACTATTTAATCTAGACACCCACTTAATACTCTGACCACCCAACTCATAATGAACTCTAATTACAGGGTTGTTTAATGACCTTGACTACACATGAGAATAATACTATTTTATTTCTAATGTTATTATTGACCATTTAAACTTGTACTTTTGACATTAATTCTTTTGACCAGTTCCAATTTACATAATGTTTTATTTACTTTTTTTAAAAGCTGACTCAATACCTAGCCCACCAACTTATTGTATTGAAATCGATGGAAATTCAATGTTCAGTGGCAAATATTACAGGCATATTTAGGATGAGAACATATTAATGTGAATACTAAGCTCTACTAAAAAACAAAAAGATGACTCAATATCTAGACCACCAATTTATCATAACAAAATCAATGAAGGTTTAATGTTCAGTGGCATATATTACAGGCATATATATGTAAGATGAGAACATATTAATGTGAATACTAAGCTCTACTAAAAAAGAAAAAGATGACTCAATATCTAGACCACCAATTTATCATAATAAAATCAATGGAGGTTTAATGTTCAGTGGCATATATTACATGTATATATATGTAAGATGAGAACATGTTAATGTGAATACTAAGCTCTACTAATAAACTAATAAATACTGAATTTAAAAAAAAAAAAAAAAAAAAAACACTTTAGAATTACAAGTTATACAATTTACAAACATTAATTTCTACCAAAACAGTACCATAATACAATTATATTGACCAATAAAATAATCCAAAACTGTTATCAAATACTATCTAAAATTCTGAATTTTTCTCTTCTTTGACAGCAGTTTCA